ATAAAGCCATTAATGGTTCATATCAAGTTTGACGTATATAAAATACTGATGACAGTAGTCTTGATTTAATCAGTGAAGCAATAGGAAAATATTTAGATAGTAAAGAAAAAGGTGAAGTTTGCACATTATCTGAAAATCTTGAGGATGTGGGTGTTGGTACCGAATTCAAGACACCCACATGCACACCCACACCCTCAAGAAGAATTAGCGTTAAAAACTCTTTCTTTTCTTTGTGAACGCACGTCTTCATTTAGTCTTACGAAATACTTTGACAAATACATCTCTTTGTTGGCCTGACAGTTGGACACTTTCAAATTTAACTGATGAAGATGCGGGCTGATAGAACAAACGTTTTCTTTTTTTACTGTTGTTCTTATGAAATCCATCATGCGTCGACAACACACAAATAGTTCGTGTGAAATTGCATGCAACCTTCATCCTCCTGCAACCCACTGTAAACAATAGGTAAGTGAAAGAAAAAGAAAAATCCACCCACTATTTCTGAAGAAAGCAATTTTCACTATCGCAACGGCACGAACATATCGAAAAATACAAATCGCCAAACACAGCATTGTTTTTTTATTTACTATTTCATTTGCGCTTAACAGTCGGCAAATGAGTAAGTTGTTTTCAATTTTTTCGTATTCTACTTCGAGTAGCGTGGGTGTGGGTGTGGGGTGGGTGAGGATCGGTGAGGGTAACGGTGCGGAAGAGATTCACACCCACACCTTCACACTCACGCCTCACACCCCACACCCACCCGAAAAACATGAAATACTCGGGAGAAGTCGTTTTTCGAGAAAAACACATTTTTTCAAAATATACCTTATATTTCGGTTCGTGCTTTTTCAGATTCAGCTTTAAAAAGGGAGCCTAGAAGAGTTGCTAATTCGGCTTAAGACCCCAATATTTTTTCAGAGTGGTACTCGAAATCCGTCCGAGTGCAATGCGCATGAGTCGTTTTGGTAAACGTATCAAGTTTTTCTACGTAAGCGATAAAGGGAAGTATTTTATCTCATTCAACTCAACATAGTATTAGCTACAAAACTCCGCATTCTTTTTTTCCTTTTCTTTCCTTTGCTGAAAAAAATCGTTTTTACCGGTGTCATGGAAAAAAGAGACGGTCATTTTTCAATAAAATGCTTATTTTTTATTCAAACCAAGTCAAACTTGTTTTACATAGGTAAAAACTGATGGTGAATCGAATAAGTATATTTTCGAGACCTCTACAGGGTCTTCCGGGGGTCTCTGGAAAACTTGCCTTCGAAAACCATAGTATTATTGTTCTGATCAGGATTTAATCATGTTTAATGCACTATGAGGGTGAGGGTGAGCGTGTGGGTGGGTGAGCGTGTGGGTGGGTGGGTGTAGAATTACGATCAACTACTAACACTTATTCGCACCGACACCCACACCCTCAAAACTTACGGAACACTCAGCGTAAGACCTGAGTTTTGACGTAGTTGTGACCACCAGTGGGAGTAGACTATGCTGACGCTTACACCTACACCCTAATCCGTACTGATCTCTGGAAAAATATTTCAAAGTATATCTTTATCTGTTGAAACCATGCATCGACGTTGGTTCAAAACAAGTTCTGTTTCTCTGTTCAGGTACGAAGCAAGAAGAAACTCAGAAGTCATCAGGAGAGAAGCACTTTGTGTGTCAGCATCCTAAGTGTGACAATCGATGTGATCGAAAGTCTTCTGTTGATGGTTATGGTCGTTGTCCTGGTTTTTTTGATTATATTGGTCGTTGTCCTGGTGTTTTTGATTGTACTGGTCATGGTGCTAAATGTGAGAAATGTGGGTTTGTTGTTGATTATGGTGATGATGCTTATAAATGCCGGCGATGTAGCCATATTTATTGTGACGACTGTTGCTTTATCTAACCACGGTCGAAATAAAAGCCAAAATAGCGAGATCAAAGACTTTCGAACTAGTGGAGTGTCCTGCAAGTATAACACTAAACTTTTAATATCCATGTGTGAGTTTTTTACGAAGAAAAGTTTGAAAAATCAATCAAAACGAAATTCTTAATAGAGTTCTTTGATGCATGAAGAATCTTGATAACTTATAAAAAACAAAAGTTTATGTGACAGTATTGAACAACATGATTCACTGTCTTATTTGTGAGTAGCTAATTATCTATATTGTTTATGTAACTTTTATATTGGTCAGTCCATCTTTTCTTATTGTCAATGGAATTCGAGATAAATTCAAAAAGCGGGTGTGGGTGTGGGTGTTGGTCTGGATGATAACGTTGATGTAGGTATGAAAGAAGAAGAAATATCGGCACTCGCGCTCACAACCTCACCTACACCCACGGCTTCACTCACAACCACGGCTTCATTCACACCCACCCACACCTGAGCTTATCTTGGTTGGAAAAAAGTATCGCCTCTTTCGAGTTGTTATCGCCATATGATAAGGACTCGCTCGTCGACAGATTCATGCATTCTTCATCATCTTTTCTATTAATTGTTGGAAACATGTCAATTCACCACATTAGAATATATGCTGTTTGTCTGTCGCTTTTCTTTCTTGTGAATTTGGTAAAAAATGAAACACCCCAGGCCCGAATTTATACAAATCCGTTAATCAATCGCGCCATCGACGTGTGGTTTCTTGTCGATGAAGCAAACGGTCGACTCTCTCTGCTCCAGCATGGGCAGATGAAAACTGCTGTGGAGTATATAGCTTCTGAGTTAAATCCACCGAGCTCCAATCCAAACTTTGCTGTCTTCTTCTATGGCGCTTCACCAACGGTTGATCAAGTTGTATCTCTTGGAACAACGAACTCTGCTTCGGTGGTTAAATCCAAACTGAATTTAAAGCAATACACTCCTCCTCAAGCGCAATCCTCTACTCTGACTTCTGCGCTAAATATTGTCGTGAGCTCATGTGTGTCATCCTGTCGAGCGCCATCAAGAATCGTCATTGTGTTGACAACTTCACCAGATATCTCTGCAGCAGCTCGTATTCGACAAACAGAGTATGGTGCGCTGATGACTGTCATCATGTTGGGTATCGGAAATCATTTGAATATAAATGAGCTAAATTTACTTGCTACGCATCCAAGCCGATATTATGCTATTCAATTCGACAGTTTTACAGAGCTTCTAGTTTCAACGCCATACCTTAGCGCTCTCATCAGTTCTGTGCCGCCTTTTAATGTTGGAAAAGGCCATCTAGTAAATTTTGGCAATACACTTTCGAACACATATTACACTGTGCAGTTCTTTCCCAATCATTTGTATACACTCGCAGATGATTCTATTGTCCTTTTTACATGGAACTGTTATGGTTGCTCTCTCTATGTTTCACTGTCCGAACCAAATCCATCGAAAGTCAATACTGCTTTATCGGCGTATGCAAATTCTACTTATCCCTCTGGCTACGCTATGTCTTACTTTCGATTGCCGAAAAACACACAGAGATTTTTCTTAAGTCTAATGGGAAATGGACAGGCTTCTGTCAGTGGCGCGTTCCATGTATTTTCTCTTGCTACAGTAGAGGAAAATGCATTAGTCGGAAACAACCTTGCGGCAGATTTATCAGCGACATTTGGTTGAAATTCTCTTTCTTTTTAAGATTTGTCATTGCGTAGTTATATAACTGCCCCATTAAAAGAAACGTCATATTAAATCGAATGAATACAATGGGTGTGGGTGTGAGTGCGAGTGGGGGTATGTAAGTGTGAGTGTGGGGTTCAAGACATCCACACTCTCAAGATGGTTCAAAGACTGAAATTGTGACGTAGAACCTTGATTTTTTCAGAGTTTTTAATCAACACCCACTATTTCCTCTCATATATATATATATATATGTATCGCTTATCTTACCAAAACTATAGATTAATAAATAAATCGTTTGATTCAGATTTGTGACATTTTATTATCTCTTGTACAAATATTTTCAAACTTTGTAACTTATTAAACAAATACCACATCAGAAATAACAAATATTTATTGAAATTATTACAACATCAAAAGCAAACTAATGAGAATGTCTATTCATTGCAAGGTAAACCTAAAGCAACTTGAATGCTATTCTTTCCTGTATCAATAAACACTAGATCATATCGTCCATCTCGATTCAAATTAATTACTTGCAATGACTGACAACATTTATCAGTGCAACCTGCATGAATTCTAAAAGATAAATCTTTTCGTTTAAAAAGTCCATCAGTTGAGCCAATAAATATTGTTAAAGTTCCATTACAATGTAATATAGCTAAATCATCGATTCGATCATTATTAGAATTAATTCGAGCAATAGATGTCGGATAATGATCTGTGACATAAATCATTGGAATGCTGTTCCATTTCGATAGTGATTTATCTTTGTAGCGAAGTAAAATTTGTAATGTGTCCGATTGAGAAGAAATCAACGCCACATCGATGAATTCATCTTCGTTGAATCTTCCTGTAACTGCAGCTGATGGATTTTTATACATTTTGTCATTTGTTAAAACTTCATCGTTGAATAAATCGTCACCCACATATGCACTTGCACTGCGAGTTAACACGTAACCGTCACTGGTGAGCCAGACCATATCATTTCGTCTTGTATCATTATCCAAATCATCGACGACTATTGAAATGACTATACCCAGGTGGACATCACACGCACATAATTTTAATTTAAAGTGATATCTGTTGCCCATATTTAAAAAGATACTAAATTGGAATTCAGAATATACATCAAGAGTAACAACTAAATCAATAAAACCATCACTATTGATATCAACAACTGCAATCGCATTTATTTTACTGGAACCTGGACTACTGATAACATTGTCAGTTGATGAAATAAATAGATTGTTTGATCCAGTACCATAGAAAATAACTATTTTTTGTATTGCAGATAAAACAATAACTAGAAAAGAAAGAACAACTTTGAAGTATCAATCTATTATTCGACATAAGATGATAAAGATTTCTGTCACATGAGAAATTCTTACCTAAATCTAAGAATGTATCATTATCAAAATCACCAGTTGCTATTTCTGTTGGTCTAGATCCATTTCCTGTTAAATAGATTTGTCGTTTTTGAAATGTACCATTATTATTTCTCAATAAAACACTTATTGTATCTGAATCAGCATTAGTCAGAGCTAAATCATCAATACAGTCATGATTAAAATCACCAGTTACCATTGTCACAGGATTAAGACCAGTTGGATAAGTTTGAAATTGATACTTAAAATTCATATGACAAATATCTACAAAACATAACAATCAACTCATTGTTTATTACACATTAAATTTACTTGTTGATGTCACTGTTGATTCTGCTATTAAATTATTACTAGTTTCTGCAGTTGTTTGTATGGTTGTTGAAATAACTTGTTGTTCTTTATTTCGAATCATAAACAAATTAACGGACACTGATATTGTTCCAGCTATACCTAGCATAGTTAAACAAATTAGCATTAGTCGATCTCGACGCATTTTTTCTCTAGAATAATCATAAAACAGAAGGTAGATACGAGAAACTTGATTCATTCTACTACTTACGGATGTTTCTGTTCCGCAACAAAAGTCACGTTGTTCTGAAAAAAATTGAAAAGTATTATCATGGTGAAATTACGAAGATCGAGAGAAAAGAATCACCTGAACTGGCGTCACCGTTATTGTCGAAATCGAAACTGCACCGCTCGTCTCCTCATTATCTTCAATGTTCACAATAATATTTGATAAGGTTAAATTTGGTACAACTTGACTTTTTTTCCTTCGCCAATCAATGACTTTGTATATAATAATTGCTAGAATTTTCACAAGAAAATGTAGTCCACTTGTCAAACCACCAAACAGAGCAATTAATGTTGTTATGACATACAATGAATTATATTCTAATACATAAGAATATTCACATGACTGAGGTGCACATTGATTGAAATAAAGATCGAATGATGTATTCTCAAACCATTGAGAAATAAACATTTGATTAAGAAGTATTTCAATTGTTGTATTAGGCATTGTTAATGAAGAATACGTGAGAACTTTAACTGGTTGAGGTTTAGAATAGTAAATAGATGCTTGCATAAAACCAAGACATGTCTCATTATAAAGACAAGTCAAAGTTGATTGCAACAAAGAATCGAGCATCATACACCCATGAAGAAATCCTGGAAGAGGTTGTATGAATGGTTCTTCTGATGCCGGAAATGGAAATTCTGCTAGGTTTGTACAATTCGATTGTATTCCACATGAACAATTGTGTGTTCCATATTTTCGTGGTCGAGTTATTACATCCATCAGGTCACCTTTAAGTGCATCAAGAATATTATTTGAATATTTTCGAAAGAAGATCCAGTTAGAGGAAAACAATGTGCCAAGCTGATTTGCATGATTTATTGCTTGAATTAACTTGAATGTTTCTATAAATTGATTAGATGTTGTTTGTTTGAACTGTTCTATAACTAATTTTGTTCGACTATCGAATTCAGCACGAGAAATAACATATGCTGTAATTAAATAAGTTTCTTTGAATATTGACAACGATATATTTAATGCAGTTTGAGAGATTTTACAAAGTGTTGATAAAGTTTCGAATTGCATCCGAAGTATTTTACGAAAATCAACTTTGTTCATATTGATGTCGTTATGTAGAAATCCTTCAGGTATGCTATTGAACCATTTTTGTGAACCGAAAATACTCGAACAGATCTCATGATATTGAGGTTCAATTTGAGAGATAAACTTCTTGAATTTGATTGTAATACGATTACAAGGACATTGTAATGTTACAGGATATCGAACGAATAATTCTTTGTATTTTGATAATGATGGATGTGGAACTGAGACTGTCTTTGTCTCTTGTTTCAATAATGTATAAATAATAAGAATGAACAAGGTTGTAATTAATAATATCAAATAGATTCGAGTTAAGTGTCGACGTCGACGAATAATTTGTGAATCTGTTGTCGGTGGAATAATTGGATAGACATTTAATTCTTCAATATTTTTTTTACTAGATTTCGAAAAAGTTCGAACAGAATTCCAAATTCCTAAAATAAATAATATTCATTAGCTATTATAAAATTTTTATTTCAAATTTTCGTACGGGTTCGTGTAGATATTGATACTGTTGTTGTGTTGGAGTTATTTCGTTGACATTGACGAATATAATTCCAAGTTATAATCAATAATTTAACAATAAATGGCAATAATAGATGTAGAAAAAGACTGATACCACCCATAAATCCAATAGTTCTTCCTACAACATAAATAAATCTCAATCGACTTTTATAACTGTATTGGCATGTTAATGGACGGCAATAATTGAAATAAGATTGATAGGAACTTTCATTTATATCCCATGATCGAATAAAAAGACGATTAGCCAATGTTTCAATTCGATCATATTGATTATTATTCAACGATGATGATGATTTTAATGTAGTAATGTTAACTGGTGATTGAGTTGAGTTAATGAATTCTTTTATGTAAGAAAGACATGTTTTATTATAAAAACATTCTAATGTTGACATCAAAAGTGCTTCAAAAGGAAACCATGATTGAACCATTCCGGGAATGATGTTGTCATTTTCGTTTTCTTTTATCATAGTCTTTTGGTAACATTGTAAACCAGAAGAGGAAAAGCACAAATCTGTCTCGTTTAATAATTCTTCTGGTGGTGTATGCATAAGAGGCAATAATGCAATGTATTCGTTAGAACTAAATATAGAATTCATTGGTGTAATAAATTGATTAATCTTGTAGTTTGTTTTTATCAATTGAATTACACGTCGAAATGATGCAGGTAGACTTTTTTCGAAATCTTCCACGATTGAATCGATTTGTGTTTGAAATGATTGAGGATCGAATACTTTATTTGTGACGAATTTAGTTCGATAGAATGATTGAAGAGAATCTTCAATTGTTTCATTAGCCATTTGACATAATGTTGATAAAAGTTGAAAATGAAATTGAGATTGATAACGAAAATCATTTATTAATAAATTTCTCGTCGACGGTTTATTAAATTCAATATTGATCCATTTAGAAGAGACAAATTCACTTGAACATACTTCATGATATTGTGGTTTGATACTAAAAATTAATTCATAATCAATTGTTGTTTGAGTACAAGGACAATCAAGTGTTTGTGGATATTTATGATAAAGTTGAATAAACTTATCTGGTGATATTGATTCAGAATTAATACGAGTTGTTTGTTGTGCAATAGATGTAAAAGTAGTGAAAATGATCAATGCTATAGTTGATAGAATTATATAAAGTCGTGTAGTGTAACGTTCTTGTCGAACAATATCTTCATCTTGTGTTGGAGGAACACGTCGAAACAAATTTAAATCAATTAATTTTCGTTTGATTAATCCCAACAATCGTTTCAGACGTTGACCAAAGGAGAGTACTAAAAAGAAATACGATTAGAAAATAATACTTTTTTGTATTTGGGTTGAAGTCCTTTGAAGTAAGCTGTTTCTCCTAAGATATATGCTTTTCAAATGTAGCTTAGTTCGAATTTTGACGACACGGATAGAGCACACCAACATAAATCTTTCAAAAAGAAAACTATAGATAAATACCTGTATTCACGTCTGTTTCTTCGATTTGTGTAGCTACCGCTCGTCGTCTAGTAATAAACTTCCAGATAAGTGGCCAAAGTTTCGTAATCAACAAAGGTATAGCGATTCTCAATACTGATGATAATCCACCAAAGAACCCGATCAATGTTATGATAATAAACCAGAAATCGTGTATTGAAGTTACTGTATATTGACATAGAGTCGGTGCACAATGATTAAAATAACGTTCAAAAGATGTATTATGTGACCAATTAATAATAAACATTTGATTAAGTAATGTTTCAACTGTGGAATTTGAACTTGAACCATTGAGTTTCTGATAATCATTGAAGGAGTTAGTTAAACTGTTGATATATGTTTGATTGTAACAGATTTCGAGTGTAGAACGAAGAAGCGCACTTAACATATAACAACCTGTTTGAAAACCAGGAACAGTATCATTATTCAATGTTGCAAAACCCATACAATTATTAGCAGTAGAACTTGAACATGTACAAGAAGATCCATCTTTAAATGTGTATTTTATTCCAGAATATGGCAGAATCTCATCAAGGTTTGTCAGAAGTTGCGATCTCGGTATAACACTAGTTACTGAAGCACCAGTCATAAATAAACTTTGCGCTGTAACATCTTGAATAAATTTCAGTGTTCTCATAAATGTTTTTGATGTGCTACGAATAAAATCTGTTATCAATGATGCAATTTGATTTTCAAATAATTCTTCAGCCATGATTTGAGTTTGAACAAATTCATTTTTTAAAAATTTTTCAAGGCTGTCGCTAGTTATTTTTTCTGTTAATTCACAAAGTGTACGAAGTGTTTGAAATTGAAATACAGCTATTCGATGAATGTCTGTTGAAATCGATGTATTCAAATTTTGTTCATAGAGACTATAGAGTCGATGAATATATCGATCAGAAACAAAATTACTTTTACATAATTCATGATAAAGCGGTTTCATTTGAACAAACGTTTCATATTTTACTGCTGCATTCTTACAAGGACATTGTAATAATACTTTTTTCGATGAACTATAATATTCGATAATTGACGGAGATGGAATTATAATGGTTTGCCTGTACCATATAACTGAGTAATACAATCCGATAATGACTAATGAAATACTGAGAAGAGCTAAAAATAGTTTAGTTGATCGACGTTCATTTCGTAGAATAGATTCATCTTGAATACCAGTTTGAAACAGATTCAAATGAAGGAGGCCAGTCTCAACAGCTGCTAGACGAGATAGCAGATAGGTAATGATTGACATTATACTTTGATAGTATTATTTATCTGAAAATATTCTGATTAAAGACATACGTAATGACATTTTCTATGACTAATGTGAAAAAATATCGATGGATGATGTTTTATATATGTAGAATTTATGGATCTTCACGATAACATGACTAAATTCAGAATATAATGATCTATGAGTGAAAAAATTGATTATGACAAATGTGGCACAGTTATTTTGCCTTGTAGAGCATTATAGTATGAACGTATCCATGCTATTTTGAAGGGCCTTAAATTCTGCATGTAAAACACCATCTATCAGTATTTTTTCATAATCAACATGAAAACCATTGTCTCGTAATCTTTATTTTTCTTGTTCACACATATTTCTAGTTATAATATAATCAAAATACGATTTGATGCGTTTCAGTGATTTCCGGGAGATTCATTTTTAGAAAATATATTAAGGCAACGTCTGAAAGTAAAGAAATCGCTATAACGCAGCATATGCGAAAAGGACTAAACGGAGTTAAAAGACCTAAAAGAACTAACGGAACTGAAAGACCCAAAAGGGCTAAAGGCGTTAAAAGCAGAGTTGATATTCTATAAAAAAGTAAACCAGGATAAAAAAACACTTCTCTCGGACTCCTCTGGATATTGGTTCAAATCTTTATTTATTGGATTTTAATCAGAGACCAAAGCTTAAACCTAGTTGAATTAGACGTGAGAAGTTATTATTATTTTCAAAATAACTCTATTTTACGATTTTAGTAATTAATTTGAATGTATTGTAATGGACCATGTACTAATAGAAAGAGCACAACATTCTGAGCTAAAGCAGATAATTACATAAGAGTCATATGAAATTATTTCGGGAAATGTCTAAAAGAGTTATTTTAAATATAATAATAACATCGCACTTCTAAAATGAATCACTAGAGTTTAATTTGAGTTAACAGAAATTAGTTAAGATAAAGCTGTATACTTTATTATTTCAATGATGAACTATTACTTAGTTTAACTATCTCTTACGCTAATGGGGCGTTTGAAATAAATGACAACCGTTTTTAGAATGTATAAGACAAATTTCTGAATACGTCGGTATCATAGTTCGAAGCTTTTTCAGTTCTCGGATCAAGAGTCAGATCCGGTCATCAAAATTTGGCTGTTCTCAGATTTAACTCACTACTAACTGTATTTTCTTATTGAATCCTATGGGCTAAGAATTATGATAGTCTAGAAAAAATAAAATGCAGTAACTTACAGCAGCAAAAAAATATCTGAACGTAAAAATTTGCTTTGTAAAAATAAAGAAAAATAAAAAAGGATTCTAAAGAGAGAAAAAAAGAAATGAGACTACACAAAAAAATGAATCAAAATATTGAACAGATGGAGAATAAAAACGCATTATCAAAATAATTGAGAAAACAAGTGACGTTATCGCATACACAAAATTTATCCTAAAGATGAAACTCGTATAAAAAATGATTTCTGGTGTCAATTTATAGGTTAGTTTTATCTCTAATTCATCGAGTCATTAATATCACTTTTTTGTGATGGAAAATAGAGATACAAGTACAGCGCGGCTCACTTGTTATCACCATCTTCGAGTGAGAAGTTCTAGAGATTTATGAATCGGATGTGGGTGTGGATAAAAAAACATATCTTTCAACGTCATCCACACTCTCATTCCTCAAACACCAACTGATAAGAGAGATTAAATGTAAGCGTTCTTTGTATCAATTTTGCATTTATTCAAACACTCTACTAGTAAAACAAAATATATATCACAAAATCTAGAATGAGTAGCTCTACAAGCCCTAAATTATATACGACCAACTTTTCACCATGTGAACACGATCATTTATTTTTATGCAACGAATTTTCTTGTTTTTCATCAAACAAAATTCAATAGTGTAAATTGTAGAGCTTCTCATGCTGCATTCTTTGATATACTGCACTCTTCTAATACAACGTATAAAGAAAAGAAAAGCCGATACACAAAACGCACATATTCAAACTATTTTATCCGTCAGCATATAACCAATTTTGAGCAGCATTGAGTTTGAAATGTTCTTCCAATTCATCTTTTATCATCTATTACAAATAACAGAATAATTCTCTTCTAATTTATATTTTTATCATTAGACACTGTGATTCATAAAATCTTTCTTCTTTGAAAATATTTACATCAAAAATAAAAAATTTCTTTTCATTATGTTTTACAAATTATGATACACGTATAAAATGATCTTGATAGAGTTACTGATTTTTCTTCGTAGTTTATGTTAACTGAGTCAGATTTAAATAAGCTAAAGTTATTTTATGTAATTCTTCCTAATAAACTACAGCGTAAATCTCCATCTTGTTGTGTCTCATAATATATCTTCCTTAAAATTTATTTATTTTTCTGTTGATGTCTATATAATAAAAAAAATTCTTCTGCATCTTTTCGTTAATTATTAATATTTGTCTTCTGTTGAATGGAATAAAACAATTTATTTATTTTTAGTTACATTCTCCAATAATTAACTATGAGAATTGACTTAAATGATAGAAAAACTCTTCTCTACGTTACTGAAAACAGAACAAGAAAAAAATAAAAGGTTTATTTTTTCTCTCTAGTTGCCTACCTAATGACGTCAATGGGGAATTTCTTTTTTTTTGAAATATTTGACGCAAATACAACATCTGAATGTATTAATAAATAAAAACAATGAATCTGTTTCCTTTTTCAAAACTAATATGAAATATCAGGGATTATTTGTTGTAAATATAAAAATATTCATGATACTGAAATTTTGTAGGAAGGATGTGAAAACAAAATGTAATATTATTTTTGTTAAGAATACATCGCAAATCATGCCTTTACGAAGGAAATACAACGCTTCCTGAAGAATAAAATATATCGACATTATCTGATATTTGAAATGTGTTGCACAATTGATTTTATTCTTATTTCATGCATTAGATAAATGTTAAGAAAAGTGCGATTGCTCATCTTCAGAATGTATCTTCATCGAAACACATCAAAATGTATGAGAAATAAATACATGAACAAAAGAATCAGAATTCAATAAAATCAACTAAAGTCATAATTTTATTTTCGTTTGAAATTATTTATCATGACGAATAATTATGATCAAACTAAGATAGTTGTGAGTAAAAATAATATATCAATCATTTCTTTTGTTCTATATTGGTATGAATAAGAGAATGACATTGTGAGTAAATAATTGTAAAATGTTAAATGCGTTCTCAAAAACAACAATATTTCCTAATATTCAATAAGAATTCAATTGACAAAATTAAAATGTTTTATTGTGATGAAGAATTGATTTATTTTATCAAATTCAAATAAATATTTAGAGATTTAGTTCTGTAAAAACAAAACTCTGTAAAATCTAAAAATAGATTGAATACTATGTAAATTATCACATCTGAACCAAACTATAAAACTATTTCATAAACTGATTAGTTTTATTGAGATAAATTCAAAATAATGTTAAAACACATTTGTCCTAACGAAGGATTTCCTATCTAATTTTCAATTGTTCCAATTTTATTTCATATAGTTTAATTCACAGTTAATTTCATACATATTAGAAAGAAAAAGAAAATTAGTAAAAAACATTTGTTAATGAAATAATTGAATAATAATTATTGGACGTTGTTTTGAGCATTTGACATTTTATAATACATTCCACGTTTTTGTATTAGTTCTATATGAGTACCACTTTCTACTATACGACCCATTACAAGTACATGTATTACATCACATGAACGTATTGTTGAAAGACGATGTGCAATAATAATTGATGTTCGACTAGAATTTTCTGTTTGAGCTTGTTCAAGAGTTTCCTGTACTATCTTTAATTATTAAAAATATTAATTATATATATATAAAAGAAAACAAATTTACTCGTTCATTATATGGATCCATAGCACTTGTAGCTTCATCTAATAATAATATTTTAGGTTGACGAATAAGAACTCGAGCAATAGCAACACGTTGTTTTTCACCACCTGATAAAAAACTACCTTTTACTCCAACCTTTGTCTCATAACCCTATAACAATATAAGATTATATTACTAGATAATTTAATATTAATCTAACTTGAGGTAATTGTTGAATAAATTCATGAATATTAGCTTTAGTTGCAGCAAGAACAATCTCATCCATTGGTATATTTTCTAATCCATATGCTATATTTTCAGCAATTGTTAAATCAAATAAAACAGGTTCTTGACTAACAACACCCAAACGAGAACGAACCCATTGAATATTTAATTTTCGAATATCAATACCGTCAAGAGTCTTATTTATATTAATATTTTTGTTTATATAAGTACTTGAATTATATATAGAAAAGAGATACTTACCAATTGTCCATTTGTAACATCATAAAATCGTTCTAGTAATTGAATTATTGTTGATTTTCCACATCCAGATGCACCTAAATTGATTAATATTATATGATTAATAAATTAGAAAATATATAGTAATTTATTTTGCACATTACCAACAAGAGCTATACGTTGACCTGATTTAATAGATAATTGAAGTTTATTAAGAACAAGAACTGTTGGACGACTTGGATAAATAAATTTAACTTGATTAAATTCTGTTTCTCCACTAAAGTTAGTCTAAACAATTCAAGAATAAAATATAAAATTGAAAGGCAATGGTTTTGTTTTTTTTTCTTTTACTAATTTTTGTCCTTTATTAGATCCATTATCAATAGTTGGTATTCGATCGAATAGATCGAAAAAAGCGTGAGCAGCAGCAAATGATGCACCAATACGTCTTGCTCTAAAATGAAAATAGCGAAAACAAAAACAAAACATAAATTTTATATCTTACAACATTCCAGCAACTTTTATCGATCCTAATGCGAACATTCCAAAAGCAGAAATTCTATAAAAATAAAAAAAAATAATAAAACTTAATTTATAGATTATGATAATTATTGTTTTAGTTACATAACAATATCGTTCATGTCTAGTTCATTGTTTTCAACAAGAACCAAAGCACGCCAATACAAAAGTCCCAAAATCAATGAGTCCATCATCCAATACAATCCAAATACTGCTGCAAACAGTGCTTCAGGTCTCCAAGACATTCTAAACAAAAGAAAATTTATTGAAGATTGAAATCAATATCTATAAAAAAATAAGAGAGTTAAATATTCGATATTATTAGCTCATTATTAATATAGAAGAACATGTTTTTGACAAAATTAATCAAGATTATTAAAAGCACTCGGAGTTTTGTTATCAAATATATAGGTACATGCATAATACTTATAAGACTAACCCTAATACTTGATCAATCATATCCGAATATTGTCGTAAAACTTCATTTTCCATTGATAACTGTTTTACTGTGCGCATATTAGTAAGAACTTCAACAGCAAGCTAAAAAAGACACAATATAGAATAAATATTTAATAATTATTTGATCAAATAATGTATAATAACATAATTCTATTACACATGAAAATATTATGAATAATAAAATGATTTTACCGTGCTAGCTTGACAGTAAATGCGATCAGATTGTGTTTTTAACCATGAACTCAGCCGTATCTGCATAACATTGGCAATCAGTAGGATAACGAAAGGAATAGCTATGATTATTGTTAATTCCCAATTGTAGAAGAAACCAAGCAAGAAGCCAAAAGTAGACATGGATAAACCTTCACAGATAACACCTAATCTTGAACCAGCCATGTCTTCAATAGCAGCTGCATTAGAAGAAAGTTGAGTACATATAGCACCAGAACTATTTTCAGGTTGATCAAAGTAAGCTACTTCTTGACGAAGTAAACATGCGAATGCTTTTAAACGAAGACGACTAACTAATTTTGCTCCTGCAATTCCAAAAGTCACAAACTGTAAACAAACGTAAAAAAACTCACTAATGTAGTTTAGAAATAAAATTTTTACTTGGAAAAAATGGAGAATCATAAAAGCAGCGCCCAAAAGAATAAATAAACCACTCGTAATCGACACTCGACGACGTATATCAGTGTATTTACAATCATTAAATTCCTAAATAAAAAACAAAATCGACAGAAAACACACATCTTTTATCTTTTCTTAGAATATTCATACAAATAAATCACTCACATTGATTATTTTCGCTAATAGAATCGAGAAAAGTGGTCCACGTAATCCACCAAGTAAGCATGCTAAACAGCCAATCAAGATAAATATCCATTCAGGACTATTCATCTTCAAGAGTCTAAGAAAAACAGATTTTTCTCTTGTTGATATCGAAGTTCTCTAGAAGAGTATATATAAATAATGATTTTTTAAAGTTATTACATATTTATTTTTACCTGATTTATATCAGTTGCTTCGCTCTCACTCAATAGACGAGCACGCTCTACTATTTCAAAAAACAAAACAGAATGAAGTTTATAAAATATAATAATTATTAATATTGGAATAGTAACATACATATTTGTGCTTTATCTTCAGTTTCTGCTTGTGTCATATTCATTAACCCATCTTGCGTATCAATCGTTTTTTCAGATTGCTGCATTTTGACCATTGTTTGATATTTTCCTCCTTCTTTTATTAATAATGTTTCATGTGTACCTTCTTCAATTACACTTCCTTTATCTAATACATAGATATAATCAGCATTTTGAATTGTAGTCAAACGATGAGCAATAACTATTGTTGTACGATCTATTCATATAATGGTAATCTAATCAATAGTAATTAAATAATTCTTACTTTTGCATGCTCGATCAAGTGCTTCTTGAACAATTCTCTCGCTAACATCATCAAGTGCACTTGTTGCTTCATCTAATAAAAGAATGTTGGGTTGTTTGACAAGTGCACGAGCTAATGCAATACGTTGTTTCTCACCACCACTCAACTGTATACCACGTTCACCAACAAGCGTTTCATATTTCTACAAACAAAAATATTAATATAGATAAATATAAATATACAAAAAACAAACATTTGGTAATTTCATAATGAATTTATGTGCATTAGCTTGCTCTGCTGCTTGTTCAATCTCTGCACGTGTTGCATTCAATTTACCAAAACGAATATTTTCATAAATACTTATTCCAAATAGAATCTATTTTAATATAAAAATTCTAGAGAGACTAAAAAAGAAAATGAAAGACACCTACAGGTTCTTGACTAACAACTCCAATATGTTGTCGAAACTGTTTAATTTTATAATCTGTAATTGACTGACCATCAATCATAATTCTACCTGAAGAAGGTTCGTAGTAGCGAAGAAGAAGTGATACACATGTACTTTTTCCTATCAATGAATTTCAATATTAAAATGTTGTTTGTTTTAGAAAGAAAGATTTACCACAACCACTTGAACCTACAAGAGCAGTTGTTTGATTCGCACGAGCAATCAATTTAAGATTATTCAAAGCTGTTGCATTTTCTCTTGATGGATAATAAAAATTAACATTGTCAAATTCAATATCACCATTGATATCAGAAATCGAGTTTTCATCAGATATGTTCTCTTCCAATATTTCTCTTTCATTCAGATTTTCATCATGTATCTATATATCATAAAATAAAATAGAAAATATAATTATCAAGGTTCAGTTTCGACTATTCAATCGATTTTACCTCGTCAATAAGTCGAAATACGGATACAGCTGCACCTTGAGCTTCCGAAATTGATTGGAAGAAAGGACCAATTGAATTAAGAAAACTTAAAGCTTGTGCGAACATATTTACAACCTAAACAAAAGTTCGTTTTTCAGTTACTTTCTTGCATATTGATGTTATAGCAAACTTACAACAAGAATCTCACTAATGGTCAGTATACGATGAGTTTCATAAGACATAAGAATAGAACCAAAAGTGAAACCAATTGAATAAACTATAAAATTTATAAAAAATAACCAACCAAAAAAAGCACCAAATGCAGCATCTTTCCTCACAGTACACCATTCACTTAATTTTAATTCTTTATCATATCTAGATCGAATAAATAATATAGAATAATCTATAAATCTTTGTTTATTTATTTATTTACTGTTTTTGTTGGTATTTGCTTCCATTAAATGAAAGAACAGTTCTTAATGAACTAAATACTTCTTGAGCGATTTGTCCAGCTTTTGAATATGTATTTAATTGTTCTTCTGTTTCTTTTGCGATGAGCTGTAATTATTGATAAAGATTTTAGCGAACTAAATAATACGTTATACCTTAGCAAACATCAATGAACTAACAACAACAATTGGAATTATACAAGACATGATTAAAGATAATTGCCAACTGATAATGAAAGATATGATTATACTGAAAATCATGACTAAAATAAGTCCAATTACTACTAAGAATTCAAAACCTATTCCATTTTTGATCTTTTCAATATTACTGTAAAAGAAATCGATCATGTCCAATTATTTGTCATAAAATTATTATATTTGCTTACGTAAAAAGCTTTGTATTGTATTGAGTAGTATGGTTTGTATCGAAGTAAGTCATGTTCTAAAAAATGAAAGAGAAATAATACATTATTTTATCTTGAATCATAAATTAACAAATATATCAGTTTATCATTATCATTATTATTTTCTTTAAAGTCAGAAATCGAGATCAAAATGATCTACTTAATTTTGTTTTATGTTTGATTAGAAGCAAGAGAAATAAATAGAATAAACTGAATTTTAACTAATTTCATCGTTCATAATAACGAATTATAAAGTATTTTATGAATGTAAAAAAATATTTTTACTTACACGTTGAATAAGTGATTGAAAGAGTAAAACACTCATGCGAGATGTTTGCCGTTTCGTAGCAGTTGTCCAACAGATATATTCAAGAGAAGTACATAGAAATGCAAGAATACTTAAACCTACATTGATACAAAAACAACAAATCGCTTGTTTTTTTAAATTTAAATCATCATATTCAATAGACTTACCCAAGAACCAATGAACTAGATGCATAACATTTTCATGAAATAAAGGCGTTAATGGAGATAATGTGGATGAAATAGTTTTATTATTATAATGGCATAGTCTATAAATGAAAAATTTCAAAAATTTCAAAATAAGAATATTTCTCAGTAAATTACTTATGTAATCGATCATAATTTAATGGATTAAGATCAATACCAAGAGGACATACACTGTTATTGATGTTTGTAGATGTTAAATTTTGATATCGATTATTACAATCAACAGCAAATGATGTGGTGGCAAATAATCCCGTGATTCGACCAAAAAGAATTACATTTGCGAGAACACAAACTTCATGTATTAATATGAGACACAGAGCAATAATTATAAGAAGAATATCAATACGATCAGCAAATCGAAACTATCATTAAATGAAATGAATATATTGAAAAGAAAAATAACATACATTCTCTTATGGTATTATATGTTTGAATATACTTACCAATTGAAAAACATTGATTGGAATATCTTTAGTAGTTTGTTTGATCTCATCATCTAACTTTTTATTCTTAGCATTAGTCTTTTGCCGATTGAAATATTGACGCCAATCAGAAAAACTATAAGTAATGATGAGTTTGTTATGTGTTTATCAAATTATACCTTTTGTTTTCATTGTCGCTATCATTGTCATTAAGTAGTTTGTTATAGTTCTTTAATAGTGGCTCTTTATCATTCATGTTCTTCTTTTTCTTTTCAAATATTAATTACTATGAAAGGTGAAATATATTGTGGGTCTATATATATTACTATGAAGAGTGATTCAATACCTTTTGCTTCACTGATTTTGTGTCCTTCTTCTATTTTATCAGTTTTCTTTCACATTGTCGTAAAGCGTAGGCAGCACTGTGTCAAAGACATAAATTTCAGATATTTTTTTCGTAGATATATTTATAATTAGTATTTTCCTCTTACCTGTCGCGTGGTAGTAATATAGTATAATTAAAGACTCAAGGGTAGTAAATTTAATGACTGATAAAAACTAAAAAACTAAAAATATTCTATGTAAAAAGTCCTTCAAATCTAATTCTAAAGCATTTATAGACAAAAAAAGAAACAATAAATTGTCGATTGCTTGTAATTTTTATACAACTATGAAGCTTTAAGTTAGAGTTTTACTAATTGTAAAAAAAACAATAAATTGAATAAAAGAGGTATGAGGAGTCAAAATCATCAATCCAGTTCTTTAATAAAATTCATATATATATTTATACGAGATACAATGTTATCTTAAGATTATCATTTATTTATAAATCAATATTATATATAAACAAATTGTTTCAACTTTCATTATAATATCGAGTTAGAAATATATTTATTCAACAAAAACTAAAATTTATAGTATCCACAACCCACACGCTCAAAATGAACTATTTCATCACGATTATATAAGTTGAAGCATAAGGAATTGATAGATTAATTTATATAAATCAATCTTTTTTTTAATTCATCATATATGTGAAAATCTTTTCGTTTATAGTAAAAAAATTTTTAATTCAAAGTTGAAGTTTAAAACTGACAAATCAAAGGTATTTATTATCTTACAGAACATTTCCTTTACAATAAAAGAAAATGTTTCAATTTTGTTGATATATATCAAACATAATTTCAAATAATTCAATAATACCATATTTTCTTGTTATATTTATGATCAATCATTTTTTTAAATAGATTTTTATCTTTCTGACATTGATATCATAACGGTTGAAGTCTTAATAGACGTTAGATTGAAATGATCGTGAGTTTCTGTAGTATAGAAATATATCGTCATTTTATATGTACATATTCTCTACGATACTAATGTGTATTTAGGTCTTAAACTCAATTTGATTGTGAATTTACTCATGATAAAAAAAAGAACTTTATTTGGATGAATATTGTTTGATGTGATTTTTTTTAAGTGTGATGAAAGACAAATGATTCTTTTTTTTTGTTTACATTTTGGTAATTAATCTATGATTATGGTATAATTTTTAATGATTTCTTGTAGAACATAGTATTAAGACAAGTTTTCAAAATATTTTTTATGATATAATTTATCTTCAGATAAAGAATGTTATTTCATTTCAAGATATATTAATCGTACCCGATATAATCAACTCTTTGTTCATTATAATTTTTTCAAAATTATTGTTTTTTTGCTCGTGTATGATATAACACGTATCATTTTATGTTAGAAGGAATTATTTTCCCATTCTGTTATTTATAACTTATTTAGAAAAAAAAGAGTTTTGTTTTTACTCTTCATTTTCTTTTAACACGCTTCTTTTTATTCGCAAGTATATATAAAGAAAATATTATGGTGCACATCTGATTATTTTAACAATAGCGGTATTAAATAATATTTAGGATTTATCAAGTAAGACACATACTTAATCAGTTTTTCTAAAGGAAAATTTTTCATGTTTAAAATTGTATTGGTCATAATACACAGAAAGAGTGATGTCATAATGCCATTACACTGTATTCTTCTACAAACACAACATTTACTACGTTACTTCACTAGGGCAACCATTTCCTCCTTATCATCGTTGCCTCTGAAGTAGTCAATCGAATACTCAGTATCATAACCGTTTCTTCAATTATATCATCTTCAACACCTACACCCTCAATGGAATTGAATATGATTGTCATGGAAATCTTTATATATCTCAAGATCAAACAATTAAATTAATCAATAATAAAACAAATTTAGCAGGAACTGATATTATTGGAATTCAATTTTATTTTCATTGGATTCCTTATTCGACAAAAACTGATGAATTATCTAATCCAGAAGGAATTTATCTTGATAAAATAAATGGAGATTTGTATGTAGTTGATTCAAGTTTTAATCTGGTAGAAAAATTTACTATTAAAGATTAATATTTTATTTTGTTGTTTTTTATTCATTGTGTATTCTTGAGGATCTGGGTGCGATTGTAATAAAAGAATATTCACACCCACACCTTTCATAAATGTACTTTTTTTTACCGTTATCTATATAAATCGTTCATAAAGCAAGTATATCTTAATCAATCGAGAAATTCTTTGAAATTCGAATAAGTCTTTTATTGGACATGATTGCATTTAATTTTATACAAGTCATCCTCTGCTTCAAGACTTGTTTCTCCTTATTATCTTCATATTGACATTGTCTTAGTTTTGATTTGACATTAATCTGCATCAAAGAAACAAATAGTGATTATGACAATAAAAGGATTTAAGTCTTATCTTTTTTGTATTCGATAAAAAAAACAATATTCCGATATGAGAGAAAAAAGTATCGTACGATAATGGTTAACTTGTTATATGTTTTGTTTCTAGCCTTTCACCTTCTTGTCGGCAATATTTTGCATTGTCCAAATCAACAATTAATCAATGAATCTCTTGAGAGAGTTCATATTCCAGGAGCAGCCATTATTGTCGCCAATGCGACTGATATACTTTATCAACATGCGTGTGGTTATCAATCTTTATTACCCAAACGTTCGATGGATATTGATACATCAATCTTTCCTCTTGCTTCAATCTCGAAAACATTTATTGCTACAGCCGTCATGTAACTTGTAGAAAAAGAACTTGTTGATCTTGATACAGATATCAATCGATACTTATTCGAATCTGTTCAACGTATTTACCATCCAGATTATCCTTCTCATTCAATTACTCTACGTAAATTACTTTCACATACGGCTTCGATCACCGTCAAACCTGAAGAACAAAACATGCAATATAGACCAGATGATACTGCATTCGATGAAACATTGGCTGAATTTTGTCTTAAATATATCAATCCGAGTTGTTGAACGAGTAGCAAATATGTCCTATATTCTACATGTCAAAGAAAAAGTTCTCAAGCCCTTGGGTGTTGATATCAGTAAAGTCGGAGTACGATTATCTGATTTTGAAAATACAGAAGATTTCGTCAAACATTATGCATATGTATTTAATACAACTGATCTTGAAAGATGGCAACAAGTAATGCCACAACTAAATCTTACACCAATTTCAGTAAGGATGCAATTCTATGATGAATAATATTCATTTTCGTAATCTTCTTTGTGTAATAGGATAATCCACCCACTTGGCTACACATTTCAAATTATGGATTTGGTGCGTATCCTGCCGGTCTTTTGCGTATGTCTGCGAATACATTGTCAGTATTTCTCCGTATGTTTCTTAATAATGGATCTTCTATTCTTCGTCCTCGATCAATTGCTGAAATACGGACAATAGTTGGTGGCGGTAACATACCTGACTATGGTCTGATTGGAAACAATAATTCTACACAAGAATCACCTTCATCACAATTTGGACTTAGCTGATATTGGCAAACTATGAGTAATGGTCGTCGATACCTTAGCCATAGCGGATCAATGTTAGGCATGATACATCTAATGCTAGTAGATGAAACGAACAGTGTAGGTGTAATTCTTTTATCCAATGGTGACATCAATACAGTAAATAATCAGTCAATGGAAATTGGTCAGACGGGGCAAAATATTCATATGCTACTCTTTCAATGTTTCGAAACCAATAATATTTCCACATCTACCTCTCCTATGGATCAAGCCAGTTTTCATTACTATCTTTTTGTTCTTCTTTTTCTCTACTTGTCTACGAATTGATGTTTTTGTCGTAAAAAGATAACAGTCAGAGTGTTTGTGTGAAGCAGAGTTTGGGTATCAGCTCTTCTTCAAACTACAACCTCACTCTTATCTTTAGGGTGTGGGTGAGGATGATACTCTTCTATTCACCCACACTAACCCCGTTTACTCTTAAGTTGGCTCGAATTTGTGACAAATAGACACGATATTTTCTTGTACCGTTGTCTTTTTTGTAGTTGATCGTATAGTCACTTTATACTTTAGAATCTTTTAACTCTTAGCTGATGTTGCGGAATCTATTAGAGTCCTGTAAGAGCAATTTCCTTGGCCATTGGCTATGTGGGTGACTTTAACTATCTTACCGATATTGTTACCCACATTCTCAATTTATCTTCACGTATAATAAAAATATCATGTTTTATGACTGACAATATTTGAATTTCTTATATTAAAGTTATTTATGATCTATTTTATATATCTACATGATTTATTCTTTGTCTTTCTCTTTTGATATCATTTTAATAAATCTTTTTTTTACTGATAACAATCAACAAATACTCTTTTCCGCGAAAGGTTGAATTGTTTTCATTTGACTCAATTCGACTTCAATTAATATTCTCAGAATAGATATTCAATATTTTCGTACCGAATTTAAATCATAATTTATCATTACATTTTGTCTTTAGAAATAGAATCTTATCTCGAAGGTGTGCATGTAGGTTTACATGTGAAGAAAAGATCAATACAAAACAATCATTCTCACTCATACCCACACCCAAGATCTGGTAAAACTTATTCGCTCTAGTGAAAAATATTGTATAAAAAAACAATCTATTATCTGATATGTATATGTATAGTTTATGGTTTATTATTTGTTAAATTCACTAGAGTGTGATATTTTTTTCATTGAAATATATTTTGTAGAGATTTAGAATAAGGCTATTGATACTTTGATTGAAAAATTGAAGTTTAATGAATTAAAATGATCTCTAAAAATCTTTCCCGATTTTCAACTATAGTATCTGGCAACTCTGATCATGATCCAATTTCCGATCCCCATAATGATCTTTTATTGATCTGAGTGTAACTACTAAGATTATTTTTCTCATCGTTCTAGCCTCACACCCATAAAAAAGAACACTATTTTTAAACTGGGAAGAAATGTTAAAGCACGTTGAAAGTGTGTTTCTTCTATTAAAAAAACACCCGTAAAAATGCATTTTTTTTGTCTTCTAAAAGACTCCTTGATGAAATAAAATATTTGAGAAGGAAGAGGAAAAATAATGTTGTTATTATGTCTACACAAAACTGAATTTACTTATGTGCTTTATTTTTCTCTTTTCTTTGCAAAGCGATATAGTTTCAAAAATAAGAAAAAATAAAAGTTGGTAAAGTGCATTGACATTATTCAAAATAATTGAATAAAAAGATAGATTTTATGGCCAATATATCAAATGAAGTACGTAATTATTTCAAATTAGATTTGTTAATCTCACGTTCATGTCTTACACTTCGTAATTTGTTTCTAACTCGTTACTCATTATTCAACAATGGCCAAATATGGATTGATTCAGCAGTACATGGAAATAATTATTTAACAAATGTTGTTCCGAAAAATAAGAAAATCAATTTGACGCCTCCACAAAAGAAAACTGTTAGTAATGGAGATACGAATGAATGGGATGTATCGACTTTTACTGCTATTCTATCGTTTAGTGATCGTCCACAAACATTGAATACAAATGAAATACAAAAACTTGATCAAGAAGATTTGCTTATAAAACAATTAAAAGATTTAAGAAATACATTAGCTCATATTTCATCAAAATCTATTGATGATACAGAATTCAATCAGCGATGGAATGATTTATCAACAATTCTTGTAGCATTTGGTGACATTGATACGGAATTAGATAAATTAAAGGATGATAGCGTTTTTGAATCACCAAAACAAACAATAAATGAAGAAAATAAGAACAAAGCATTACATCTCAATTCCTTAGGAACACAAGCGCATAAGGATGAAAAGTATTCTGAAGCAATAAAATTCTTTGTCCAAGCAACAGTTTTACCAAGTGTTTCGGATCATGATCGAGCTACTTTCTTTTCGAATATGGCTGGAAGTCGGTTATCATTATATAAACAACAATTATACTCGGTTGATAATTGTGAAGATGGCGATATAACAAAAGAATTAGATCGTGCTCTAAAAGATGCTAAACAAGCAAGAAAACTTTGGGTAACATGGTGGAAAGCTCATTTTCGTGTTGGACAAGTCTATGCTATCTTAGATGATCATGACAAGGCAATCAATTCATTTGAACGAGCACTGGCACTTGAACCAACAAAAAGTGAAATACAACAAGCACTAGATGAAAGTTGTATACTTGTTAATCGAAATTCTCGACAAGAATATCTCGATCCACGAGAGAACTGGAAAACAATTCCTGAAAATTTAAATGAACTAAAAGAAAAGTTCGGTTTGGATCCAGAAATGGTGCGAAAGGATAGAAGTTTACTCAAGGTAATAGATCCATCAATGGCTGACGTAATGAAAGGACATCAGTTTGCACGTGGGGATATTGATGTTATACAAGATTATGAACAAGCTGCGAAACATTTTGCCAAAGCAGCAAATGCGGGCAATGCTGAGGGAATGTGCAACTTAGCTCTGTTATTTGATAAAGGTCTAGGTGTAAAAAAAGATCATAAAGTGGCTCGCGAATGGTTTGAAAAGGCAGCGGCACAGCCAGAAGAACACCCTAGAATAAAAGGGATGCGAAATATTGGTGTAGCTGAATCTGAATACGCTTTAGGAGTAAGATATTTTGAAGGCATTAGTATTCGCAAGGATCTTGCATTCGCAGCTTATTGGTATCAATGTGCTACTGATCATGGTAGTGCAATGGCTGCTAATAGTTTAGGTGCAATGTATCTAGCTGGTCTTGGGCTTGATAAAAATCTCGAAAAAGGTGAAGAATTACATGAATTAGCAGCGAAAAGAGGCGATCCAGTTGCTATGATGACTTTAGCAAAGCTACGATTAGATAAAAATGATTTTGAAATGGCAAGAATTTGGTACGATCGTGCATGTGAATCAGACAATCCTGTCGCTCACCGAGATCGTGATAACTTTATAGAAGATTTGGAAGCACGTCAAAAATATTCACCGGATATGTTAAAAGCAATGAAAACAGCGGCTAACTACATGTTGTCATTTCAAAGTAAATTTTCTCCATCGGTGGCATCTGAAATTCCATATCTGAAAGATTACGAGATGTTATGTGGATATGCCAAACGTGGTTCAATAACAGCCAAAAATCTTTGTCGTGCTTTAGAACATTACATACAAGCACTAAATATACTCTTATTTTGTGAAACTTTAACAGAAGAACAAGAAAATATATTTGTCCATGAACTTTCAGAATGTTATCGTATTGAACAAATTGTAGCTCAAATACCAGCTCACACGCATAAAAAAGTTAGCAACATTATTGAACGAGTACTTTCTCGATGTAAGAAAGAATCAAATTTCATCGTTTCACAACTCGATGAAGATGTTCGTGTATGTTATGCAACACTGAATCTCAATTCCTACGGAATAATTGAAGAGTTTGTTGAATTATGTAAACAGAAGTATCCAAAATCGGTCTATTTTTTCTTAACAAGTGGTGCAGTGCATGGTTTTCGACGTCAGTCTGATACTGGTCTATATAATATAAACAATGGACTTGAAATAGAACCTGACAATTATGAACTATTGTATCATAAAGCTGTTCTATTACGACATATAGGAAGAGATATGAATGAAGCAATTGTAGCCTATCAAAAATTTATTGAAATTGCTCCAAAAGACCATCGAAAAATTCCTGAAGCATATTATGAAATGGCTCAATGTTTAAAAGATTTTGCGCCTGATGCTGGAATGCGTTGGATCCAAGATTGTTATAAAGAAGGCAAACAGGCAGAAAAGCTACAATTACCATGCTTTTTGCCTTATAAATCAGACAATATTGCATTTATACAACCATTTATTGATATGATTGAACCGAATTCCAATGAAGAAGCAGAACAGGCCTGCCAAATCTCCTGATTTGACCAGGAGACTCCTGATTTTTGGACTTTTCTCCTGATCGAAAATCTCCTGCTTTCAAGAACTGATTTTCAACATTTTCTTTTGATTTCTCCTGATGTTTCGTTTTTTTCCTACTTGATCGTTGGCGATAATTTGAATCAATAAGAGACTTAAAAGAAAAAAAAAGAGAACTATTGCAGTACTGAATAATTATAGTAACGAATAAGAAAATACTTGCTTTCATTTCATTTTTCTAGAAAAAAATCATCAGTTGCAGGAGCTAGCGGCACATAAAGTATTTGTTTTACTGAAGATATCAGAAAAGCGCATGTTATTGTCTGGAAAACAAGATCTTAGTATTCAGACAAGAGGCCGATGGGCAACATTTTAAATGACCAGTTAGGATGTCTCTCATCTGGAAAGATTTTTACATTTCTTGGAATTCACGTCTGACTCTTCTTATCTTAGAATAGAATAATATCTTGAATAACTTAGGAAGATGCCTGCGTTCCATTTTCATTATTATTATGGAGTTATTACAGGTTTATTTGCACTGCTATTTAGTTGTCAAAGTCTGACATGAATTACAAATCTGAAAAGAATGGATAGGCATATATTACAATAAAAAAAAGTGAAGACATCAGTGAAAAAGAAGCAGAAGTGGTAGCTATTTCAATAAGATGTTCATTTAATAGATCATAAAAGGCTAAAATGAAAAACAACTTCCATTGTCAAAAATTAGCTCATCTTGTGTTTTTACAGTATATTAATGCTATAAACCGCTCATTGTAAAAACAAGCGAAGACACACTTGCAAACGATTCATATAGTAATGTAAGAAATAAAGAATGCTTGTCTTTTTTCAAACGCTGGCAAGAATCTTTTTACCATTCTATTTATTCATATAAATACTTTCGTTTAAACTTCACAATGAAAAAGAATTTTAGCTGATGGATTAGAATAAAAATTAATTTGGAAATAATACATATAAGAATATTAACTGATCAAGAGTATATAACAGATATAATTAAAAGAAATCTTCTCATGACCATTCTGTATAGAAAAAAAACATTATTTGTAATAAAACTCAAATGAAAATAATATCATTTATATTAAACTAATGATCACCAGCTCGATACGAAGGAGATAAAAGTGTTATTGTTAGCGAATATTCGGATTTTTTACGAGAAAATTGTCTAATGTTTTCTCAACTTGAAATAGAAAACCTCCTGATTTTCCTACTAATTTATCGGGAAAATTCTCCTAGAAAACTGCTGTTTTCTAAAATTTTGATTTGGCAACCCTGAATCAGATCCAATTAATAATCATAAACAACATCTGACTGATTCTCATAGAATAGAAGTGATTAACAATTATCGTCAATGGGAGAAAACAACATTAGATGAAAAACACAATCCATTCTATAAAACTATTTCGACTACTGTTAAACCTCGAGTTAAACAACAATCAGACAAATTATTAATTGGTTTAAAACCAATTACATTACGAGAAATGAACTCAAGAAAAGATCATGTTTATACTGGACGTGTACTTTCTGTAACGATTATTGAAGAAACATTATCATGGATACCATCAATTCATCTGGTCATCGAAGATGCAAACTTTGATTGTGAGCGAATGCTCATTTATGGAATTCTGGAAGAAGAGGGTGAATATTTTATCAGCAAGTTGTACACTATTGGGAAAAAAAATCCATATTATCAATCCATATTTACGAATAGGAGCAAATGATATGAAACCATCGATTCGTGTTGATGATATTTCTTCAATTGTAATGCAAAGTAAATCTGAATGGATATTAAATATGTGTCGATATTGCTGCGAAGCAGGTGCATCGAAGTCTTGTGGTAAATGGAGGCAAGCTGATTATTGTTCAAAAAAATGTCAAACCAAGGATTGGAAATTATATAATCATAAACTTATTTGTAAAAGTTAATCATTATTGGAAGAATAATGCAATAAATAATAAAAGAATACTAAATAAAAGTGAAATATCTGAATATCTTGAGGGTGTAGACGTGAGTAAACAGAAGAATATCATCTTCACTCACTTTACACTCACACCCTTACATAATCAGGTGAAAATTAAACTTCATAAGTCATGACTAGAGATCTTTTGCCAAGTACAATTTATGAAAGTAGATTGTTGATGAAATAATATTTTGATATCTTTTGAAAACAACGGTTTATTTAATATTCGATAGATGAATGTTTTTCGAGTAATTATTCTGAAAGTTATCAGTTTCATTCTTATCATACTATCAACAACATTTACTGACAAGTTTTCTTTAGCATAATTCTTTCAGCATCTTAATCAACAAATAATAATAATACATCTTGACGACTCTTGTACATGAATTTGTAACTGTACGAAATTTTTTTATCATGCGTGATGAGACTACAGTTGCTAATAAATGATTATAGATGTCGACAACAAAATTTTGTTCGAATAAGAAATAAATATATGGATCGTCATTAATATTTTCAATGAATATTAGAGACAATTTCTTCACCCAATGAACCACACATGATCAGGAAAATATTTTCGTCAATTACTAACGTCATATGTTGAACACACATATCTGAATCTTTGGGTATGTTGAAGTAATCTACTATATTTGACGTTACAGTCTTACCATCTCATTACTTATTACATTAGTATCGAGTTACATGAGAACATTGGATTCAACATTTTTTTCACTAAGTCATCCGGATTGATCGACTCCCGTGTCTAAAAAGATGTTCTTCTTAAGTATATATAAGCAAGTTACAAGTAAAAGAAAGAGGTGTGCATTCATCAATATGCATTTGCAACGAATTGTTTAGACGGCGAATTATCCGTCAACGAATTGACCTTGCACCGTTTCACATACATATATATTGTGGATAATGTTCATTGTTCTGCTATTCATCGAAAAGAAAAGGCGAAGAGATGGATGAAATCAATGTGCGTCGATTGGAAGATTTACCTGTGGAAATTTTATTTGAAATATTTAAATATCTCAAATTTGAAGAACTTTATTCATCAATGGCTCATTTAAATATTCGTATGAATATGATTCTCAAAAAGCAACCTAATTTAAAAATTTCAATATATTTATTAAAACCTGCATTATCATTTTTTGATTCATTTACTTCACTAACCATTAAATTTGATGAAAGAAACAAACTACATCTTTATCAATTTCGATACCTGAATTTAATCAATCTTCGTTCATTGAGTATTATTATATTATTTTATGAATGGTGGGTTGTTACATCAGAAGACGAACTGAATGCATTTATTAATCCTGATCGATGTCCTTTACTCAGATATTTACGTTTACCGAATTGTACTACTAAACTCACCGAATTTATCTTTACGGGTGCATTTCCTTATTTAAAAAAATGCATAATTATAGATTGTCAAGAATTCTTTTCCACATCGTCAAAATCGTTAGCAAAAGCTCTTCACTATCTTCATATACATAGCAAGAACGGAAATGAGTTTCATAGGATGTTATCTATGTGTCCTAAATTAAAACACCTTCACTTCCATTCTGACGAATTACCTTCAACTCAAATACGAAATATACACTATCCGTTTCTGAAATGTTTGAATATTGGATTGCTTATGAACTTTCTCTTTCACAATGGTCAATTTGATATTTTTCTTTCTTATTTTCCAAATCTTATCAGTTTTGATCTAAGTGTACATCATTCTTGCTATCACAATGAAATAGTCGATTTTGCTCAAGTAGCTGATTGTCTTCGTCGTCGAATTCCTCGTTTAAAGAAACTAAAATTGCATATTTGTCTGAGTAAAACATATCCTTCTCAATTATTTTTTGTTCAATTTCCACTGATTGCTCAAATGCATGAATTATTTCGAAGTATCAATGGATGTCCATGGTTTATACGTATTGAATCATTTGATTTCAATCCTCCATACATAGACTATTGGCATTATATTCGACCTACATCTGAACCAAAATCATAACAAATTCTATAGTTTAATTAACATTAAATTTTGTTTTTGTTCAATATATGTCATTAGTTTTTCGACAAAGTAGACAAATAGTTTTAATAAAAAATAAATTTCTTTTCTACAGTCAACAGTTTTAAGTGTGGGTGTGGGTGTTGTATCATCGACCCTTCTTCACATCCCCACACTTACAATTCATCGTATTTTATTGTTAAAAATTCTGCCATGATCAAATTTGAATTCTTACCGAATAAAACGCTTTTGGAATGTTTTGAATATCTGAATGGGATAGATATATATTATGCATTTAGTGGATTAAACAATCGTTTTAATCATTTAATTCGAAATATTTCATTACATGCTAATTTCCAATATGTTAAAAGTGAAGTATTCAATCAATTCTGTACTCAAATGTTACTAAATCCGTCTATTAAAAATCAAATAGTTTCATTACATTTATCAGATGCAAAAGGTACACGCGGACAAGTACAAGGATTTTTATCAATGTTTCAATTAAACGAATTTTCTCATTGACGATCATTAACTTTGGTTGAAATAGTTTATAGATAGTGAAGTAATGAAATCTATGTTCAAATTCTTATCTAATCTACAGCATCTTGTTATTAGAAATTGTTATTTCAATGAAGATATACAAACAGTGATTATGCAGTTAACAGTATCAATGCTATGTTATAATTCAATGTTTATTGATAAAACAATCCCAATTACACATTTAACAGTGTCTGAAAGTTGTGAGTTAGAGACATTATATGAATTTTTTCGAGGTATACCACTGTTAAAATATTTAAAAATTGAAAGATTATCTGATGATGACTATAATGGATTTAATCACTTAGATTATCTTAATAATCAAGCTGTTTGTTTACAACAGTTCATTATACACAATAATGATTGGTATCAATGTGGTTTTTATGAATTGATATTCAAACAAACTCCAAATTTAACTGATCTTTGGGCAAAAATGATTACATTATTAATACATCAATTAAAGGTTTTTAACTTTGTTTTTGAGATTATTTTTTATGATTTATGTCAAGATAAGGTTCTGAAACAGTTTAAAAGATTTCAAATTGATTTCTGGCATAAACAACATCAGTGGTATACCGTATGTGAATTTGGAGATAAATCTGCACTCATATATACTAGTCCTTATTGTTTAAATTACATCAGACTAGAATCAGATATAAACATCATTTGTGATGCATCAATAAGCAAATCAAAATTATATGACAACATAACACAGTTGAACTTTTGTGTAAAACGAGTGAACCGAGAATTGCATTATTATCTATCAAATATCAAATTACTCAGATTAAAATTAAAATTTGGATATGGCCTCGCACCTGTTGTATTTAATAAGCAAGCTCTAAAATTACTTGAAATGAGTGTTAATTTAACAAATATAAAATATTTAGACATCAGCCATTTAGTACATATTGAATCACTATTAATATTCTTTATTTTCGCTAGAGAAGGTCTTTCATCGATTGATTCAAATGATTTGATGTTTATATTAGAATATTTATCAAAATTATCCTATATTAAAATTAAATGTTCGCCTAATCTTGATCTGTCTGTGGAAGATTTAAATGAGAAGCTACAAGAACTTGATTCGAAATTAAAAAAACATTTCTTTACGAATTTACTTCTCAAAAAGAGTCTTTTACGAACAACAACATATATTTAGACATTTGCCTTAACTGTAAAAATTAATTATATCTTATAGTATTATTCTATCACTCATCGAATCTTGAGGGTCTGGATATGATGTAGGCTTGTTCTCTCTACTCTCATTCTCAAGATGACTCTCATCCAACATGCTGAGCGACACTCATCCGTAGGGATTAACATTGCGCAAAACCTTTTCTATTTTCCTTCAATTTAATTCATAAAATAACTTTATTAAGAAGATATTATTATAACATTTGATAATTTTTCCTTTTAATAAGAAACGAACGACATTGTCGCTGAAATACGCGAGGTATCATTCTTTATAGCCCACTCGTTAACAAGAATATTCTTATTGGATAGCAAACGGGCAGTAACATTATTATATTTTCATTTGTTTTACCTAGACGTTAGTATGCATAGATATATCCATGTGCGTCGATGTTTTGGTTGTTCTTGTTAATGAATGATAACTACGAAGAGGCATACCGAATAAGTTTCGTTACTTCAATTATTGACGGATAAAATCAAATATCGTTTTTCACGATCTTTCCAATACTGATGATAATAGACAACCTCACGAAGATGTCTATGAAAAACAATCCCGTTATCATTCAACATAGATACATAAGCTTGCATCCTATACAACAGGTTTTGTTGATTTTAACATACAAGAACATCACCACCATCGTAAAGATTTTCCTCATTTATAAAGTTGTATGATGATTTATATAATCGATCACGTTTGTGCAGTGATAAATACTAAGAAAAATTACTTGCTCGATTGTTTTGCTCTGTGGTGTAATATTTTCAAAAGACGCTTCAGTAAGCAATGATATACCATGTGCTTTACAAATGTTATCTTTTATATGTTTCGTTATTTTATCAAGCGACTTATTTATTCGTTTACCAGTTCATTCAACCAGCAAGGCACATTTATACTCTAAGACTATAATACAAATGTCGTCGGCCGTGCTACGTGGAACGATTAATTTAGTCTCGTCTGTATATCCATTGAATACATCACCATCATTTGATTATGGTGAAACCTTATGCCTATACGTTGAAGATAGATCACAGGTGCCAAAAACAGAACATGCCCAAAAATATCCAAGATATAATGGATCTATTATGCTTGGTCGAAAAGCAATTAACCTAACACAAGATACTAAGTTTCCATTAGAATTTCAATGCGAATATGATCCAACAAAAGCATCAAATAATCGATTCGACAAGTTATGTAAAGAAGGTTTTATAACTGTTGGTGCCGAAATTATTGACGGGCGAGGAGATATGACAATATACTGGGTGGTAGGTCCCGATCCAAAATTTGAGCAAAACATCAAATTAACTTTATTTAACTGATTCATATAAATGAATACGAACTATATCTGGAACTATAATTCAGTTGCTAACTTTTTTCTTCGATTAACAGTAGTTTTTTATTTTTAATATTTTCAAATATATTCCTACTAGAGTCATCAGTAATACTAATATAATAAATATACATATTAACACAATAAAGAACGTATAATATTTACTCTTTTTTATTCTCATTGTCTGCTAATTCGCTTGTATGCTCACACGTCGTCTATTGGTCGAGAAATTGATGCGACAATATAACGATCACAGGCACAGAGTTCTGGATAGAGTGTTCTCAAAGAAAGAAAAGAAAAGAATGTGCAAACACGATGTTTTATAGATGTCACTTCCAGACTGCCTCATATTTCATGTATCCACTATTTATTCATCTCATTCCATGAGCAGGATGTTTTTCTCTTTCACAATTATTATTGATTTTTTATTCCGATTTAGTTTTAACAAAATCAAAATATTTCATTTGGTCACGTAGGATTGTTTGTGCACATAGACCGTCATTATCTGTCAAATTAAATACAACATAATACATAAATTAACCGATTCGGACGAAACAAATAAGGTAATTGTAATTTGGAAAATGAGAAAAACTGCAGCATTAATTTTCGATCGATCTTTACTGATTTTACCATTCACCGCTACTCTAACTATGATCCTAACCATAGTGATATGTTATTTAAACGATATATCAGATGGTCAACGAATAACTCAAATGAAAACGACAAACGACCTAGTTTTCACTATTTTATTTGTTGGAATGGTTATCTTATTTCCTCAAATGTTAGTAATTATCATTGGTCGATTTCGATCACTATTAGAAGCTCAATCAGTTATTAATCGGATTATTCTATATATCATTCATATGATTGTTGCTATCCCCTTAATTGGTGTACCTATTATAGCCTGTATAGAGAAAGGTAGTGGTCGTGATGATTGGCCTTACGATATTCTAATTGGACTACTTATGTCTCTTTTCCTGTATTGTATTCTTCATACTATTTTGGTCGTCTATCTCTATATATGTCAAAGGAATGCTTTTCAATGGTCAAAAATTATGGGACCAATATGGTTTGTTGTTTGTACTGTACCAGTTATTCCCTGTACTATCATACTAAGAACATACAATATTCATCTTCCAATGTATATTGTACTCATTTTTCCTGTTTTATATTGCTTAGGTTTCGTATATCCATTTTGGTTACGAGCTAAAGCAAGAAATAGATCTTCCGTTGTACTTGGACCATTAACATTCTTAAATGATCCCGATCAAGAAACATTAGTTGCTTTTCCTATCTAGATGATCACTAATATGAATGAGAATATTAACAAGTTTGGAATGATTTCAATATAATCTCTTATCTCGATGTACTAAAATAAATCAATCAAAATTATTTTCTTCGTTGTTTGTATATTTATCTTGAGGGTGTGAGTGTGGGTGTGGGTGAGTATAAATGCTCTTTTGTTCCATCTTCATGCTGACTATGATAAGAATAATTAAGAAACAAGAGAGGATCACCAGGGCTAAAGAGAAATCGAGTATGAATTACAATAGATAGATAAGCAATATATTAAAACGAAATAAACTTAATTTCTTACTTACGTCTATCAATCTATAAAAAAGAATTATACGTGGCTCAATTGATTCTCGTCATGAATACTATGTGGTATTTTTTTACTATCATTGGATCAAGATGATTCATTGAAAATGAAATAAAAAAATAGATTTTCAATCATTTCCTTCTTCAAATTTCATCCTCAAAATTTTTTTGTTTTATGTAATTTTCGATATTTGAGTGGAGCACAATTCAAGCTCCAGATGATAATTCCAATCAAAATATGAAAAGCTTTATGATCTAGATTTCCAATTCACAATTCTTCTAGTCAACAATTAGAGATAAAACGAGCACAAATAATCTTGAGAGTGGGTGTGGGTGCCAAAGAATACAAGATACGCACGGCTATGCCCACTCACCCATGCCTTACATCCACATACTAAATCTATAAATTAACATTGAAAGATGAAACTTTTTGTTCTTCGAATTTAATTATCACATGTTGATTCTTTAAAAAAAGGCAATTTCTTGATTAAAAATGAAACACATAACAAATGAATCAATATCAACATAAACATTTCTTTGATTATATTGCTGTGTGATATTACACTTGTGTTTTATTTTATATCATTATCAGTTATACAAAACATTTGCCAAAAAAATAGTATTCTTTTTCAAAATTGAGCAATACATTGTTTTTTGAAAAAAAACTACATGAGAACAAATAGTATTACTTTACTTAAAAAATTGAATAAGATTTGTATAGACTTGATCACAAAAATTTTCTCTGTTTTTTTTCTGACAACTATGGAAGTCAAGGAAAAATAAGAAGACTGAACAAAGTTCGAAGAACGTTAACAAAAAACATTAAATAGTAGTCTGTGAAAGAAGAAGAATATTACTATTTGATTTTCAATATTAAACGAATGATACACAAGTATGATTATATTTTTTCAGATATTATTTGTTTTGATATAAAAATTGAATCGAAAATATGAACTAAGTTATTACTACTTATGTTTCATTAGTTAATCTATTTATTAGTAGTTTCTATTTTGTAACAGTTTGTTTTTGTAGAATTATGTTTTAATTACTTCATGTCATCTCTTCATCTACAATTTGATAACATAAGAACTGACATATAATTACTTCAATTTGACAGATAAATCTTTATTATCATGTCAATGTCTTATACCATCTGCATGAAGTATACATGCAAAAGAATGTTTTTTTTGATAAAAAAAGCTTAATAATAGGACTCCATATTTCTATTTTATTAATAAATAAAAAAGAAAAGGAAATGAATTGTCATAAAATAAAAAGACTGTTGCTATAAGAATTTATGGCATCGTCATCAGCAATACAAACAATACTGACTATTTCTCAAGATTATTCAATTGTTACAACTTCTATTATTTTTATTTTTGGATTTATTGGTAATTTAATAAATATTATTATGTTTACTAAATATAAAGCTTTTCGAAATAATCAATGTATATTCTATTTAACCGTTGAATCCATTGCTAATATTGGTTCATTGATATTGTATTTTGTTCTTGGTATTTCAGCTTTTCTATATGGATTTGATTTATCACAATATTCCTCAATATGGTGTAAATTACGAACAATAATAGGACAAACACTTTTATTAATTGTACTTTCTTCAGTATGTTTTGCTGCATTCGATCAATATCTTTCAACAAATTATTCATTATATCTAAGACAACAAAGTACAATGAGTTTAGCTCGACGTTTAGTAATTACAGCAATAAGCTTTTCACTTTTCCATTCAATTCTATTTGGCGTTTTTTTCTATGCAAAACCAAGAGGTGGCTGTATAGCATATTATACTGTATTTATTCAATATTATTCGTATTTTTTCTATCCATTTTTATGTGGTTTTATTCCAATTTTGATTTCTGGTTCAATTGGTCTTTTAGCATATCGTAATGTTCGTCGTATTGTTCGTCGACACCTACCAATCGTTCAAAGACGTCTTGATCAACAATTAACAAAATTTGTTCTTATACGTGTTAGTTTCTTAATCATTTTACTTATACCTGTTGTTACATATCGTATTTATGCAATGAATATTAATATTGATCCAAATAATTCTATGCGATTAGCAATTGAAAAGTTAATTTTTACAATTATAAATTCAATTTTTGATCTTAATTATGCGGTAAAATTCTACTGCTTACATTCTTTTACTTTAATACAGTGAATTTTTTTTAGGTAAATTTCTATATATTTTCAGTTTCATCATCAAGATATCGCAGACAAGTGAAATATATTTTAATAAAAAAATGTTGGTATCAATTGAAACGACGATTTTATTTTAATCGAAATCAAATCGAACCTTCCATGGCACTACCAATACCTAGTATCGAACTATTGAATGAATAAGTTTTTTGTTAAAATTACTTTGAATTTGTTTAGATAAATATAGGCAAAATGTCATTCGCTTATTAATTAGCAAATTAAAAAAAGTTTTTAATTAAAATAATAATAACTTTGAATACGTAATGATTAGGTGAAAAAATCAAAAATTTTAAATAAAACTGTATACGATACTATCTTAGAATGATTATGAATATATTGTATGCATATGACAATCTAATCTTCATTATAACATATTTTAATTTAGACTAATCTCGACTCGACAACTACATAAGTCTGCAAAAATACTAGATAGAACTTATCGACATGACTAGCCTTCTTACTGCGACGTCCCAATGACTTTATGTCCTTATAACTCTCATATCTTTTATATTAAGAGATGCGTTTTTTTCGTTGCGTATTTATTTATTGAATAAACTTAACCATTCCGCTTACAATAGAGAAAAAATCATGAATGTCTCTACTTTCCATTATTCAAATTGTTTATACTGAAGCCATTCTGCTACTAACCCATCATAGACAGTACTTGACACGTGCGAAAATACTTGGTAGATCCGTGTTAACATCACAAGCTGTAGGTCCATAACTATAGTTTTTGAAGAAACTTAGGTAATTTTGATAAAAAATCTTTTTAAAAAGAGAAGCGAAGAAAGACCTCTTGATATTGATCCAAATTCGATATTATAGTCTTTGCTTCCATCCATTCGTGTTGCCTCTATACATATAAAAAGTTGGATTTGGCAAACAAAAAGGAGCGTAATGGCTCGTAAAGCTAAAAAAATCTCCTGATTTTTTACAAAAGCCTCTGATTGCTACAATCTGATTGAGGGTGTGGGTGTGGGTGTGGGTATCTCTTCTTTAACAACACCCACACCCACACCCACCCTCAAGAAACAAAGCGAAAAGGAAAAACCTCCATCACATATATGCATGACAGAATAGGAAAAAACCATTATGCACGGCAACTAATAGAAGAAAAATAACTGTGTAAATGATTGGAAGAAGCCTTATGATCGCATATAAAGAAAATGTGAATCATAACAGGTGAGTGCAGATTTCTATGGTTTAGTCAACTTTCGCCGAAAAAAATTTTTTCCCAAAGAGATAATTTGACGAAAGAAAGCCATAAAAAATGTAATTCACTAAATCAGTTTATCTCCAAGTACGTGGGATTGTTTTTAAGTCAGATGACTACAAGGAGAAAAAAGCGAAACTTCGTTTATTTCAAAAATTTTCTGAAGTACGATAGAGATACGGACGTATCGCTTTTCCCTTTTTGAAAAAAAGCACATGCATCATAGTTTTCGCTTTGCTTTACTTTAAATGTTTACACCTATATCAAATTTTGGTACAGTAATAGCGAATAAAAGTAATCTTCACTTGTCAAGTTCTAATAAAATATAAGGTGAAACTAAAAAAAGAAAACTAAAGTATTCGTCAATTGTCTTATAGGACATATTAATTGCATCAACAACGTTTAAGGGAGACAATATATAATCTTGAAAAATCATGAAAAAGAAATAGAATATTCTCTGATATTTAAAAAACAAAACAATATATATAATATTGAATCAAGCCGGATAAAATACTGATTGATTAATTATTAAAATGTTGATCATTATTGTGATGAACGCGTTGTTTCTTAACAAATTCAGTAACTTTTTAACTATTTCATAATATTAAAAAGAACTAGCTTTATAGCTTGCAACACCTCCTAAGTATTATCTTTTCTCCAAGATTTTCAAAACAACGTTCTAATTTTGCGATAAGTCTCTCGTAAAGTCTTTTAATGCATACACATATACGTGTAATATAGATGTCATGACATATTGATACAACCAATGAGTCATTAAAAAACAAATTTCAACAAACGCTTCTTGATTTTATAGTTTGTTATCGTAATGTAGATCAAAGTCACTTCCTTTCTTTTGTGGGTATATTAGTAATAATATGCTTTACACCTTCACCTGAGACGCACAATTATTATTGAAGCGAATAAATTTCCAACAAAAAAATGTGCACCTACTTCATTATATGAACTCTTTTCTCCAAATCTTTTTTTATTTTATTTCCGATTAAAAACATTTTAAAAAAGAAAATACCACCTTTTTTATTTGATAAAAATTATTTTTTTAGTGACGAGTAGAATTGTTTTGATTCGCTTGATATAAAAATTAAAGTATTTTTAAGTGTGTATGACTCATGTCTACGTTATGTTGGAAAAAACCAACCATTACGTTTAAATATATTATTCCCATCGAAGATTGATTACTTTGGAAAAAAAGATTTTTATTTTGAGGTATATATAATAAAACTTTTTTGTGATTCACGGTAAGTTATTTATCTAATTTTGTACATGTATCATTATAAAGAAGCATAGTGCATCAGTTCATCTTTTCTTCTCATTTTTATACTGATGAGTCATCATATAAACTGAAACCGTCTGTTTTAATGTGTGCGTATAGAACGATAAAATTATGTCGTATAACGAAACATACTTTGAAATTACATCAATACATGAACTTTCTAGAGAAATAATTAAAATATTAGCGTAAATTATTTTTAAAATATTCTGATTCTTACTTTTAGTACAAATCACTTGTTTTTCTTTATTAGAAATTATAAAATTACATGTTATATTTTTTGAGCCTCCCTTCTAGAAACGATTTCGCACTGAGGATGGTCCTTTTGGACTGAAATTTTCAGAGATCACTGATCCCTGTGAGATACGCTTCTAGTGAAAATTTCAGCTCTATAGATCGCACCGGATCGGATTTTCACCTGATTCTTAGGTCATTTTTGGCCTTCAGAAGAATCGATATAACTTCCTCATCGGACAAAATATAGCACTCAGGATGGTTTCGAATTAAAGGCAACACTAGTACGCAGCTTTTGTCAGAACAGAATTTTAAATTTGTATGGTTCATTTTTTATGACTATTTTAGTAGAACTCTCTTTAAAAAAAGCACGAAAAACGTGGATCCAAAGACAATAAATCCCACTTTTCTCCCCTATGGATAAAAGTTTAGTCTCATGGAGACCTTCAAGAAGAAAATATTGGATATATCTTGAACAGAGAAGAAGTTATGTAAATCTTTTTGATCAAAAATCATATTCTGAGAAAAACTTTAAAAAAGTTTTACCAGACTTACGCATTATGTGTATAATTTGTAGATTCAGAGCGATGAACAAAAATGAAATACATAATTCTTATATAGAACACTGGTTGACGTGCAAAAAAACTATGCAAAAATATCTTAACCAAATTAATTAAAATAATAAAGTAAAGTTTATGAAAATCGAAAAATGCGAAAGTATACTAGAAAACATACTATTAAAGCTATAAACATCTTTGATAAGTTTATTACAATTGGGTTGTTTAGATGAAAACTATATATATTTTGGAAGAGGAGACTATGGTGCATCTTTCTATGCAAAAAAATTAGTAATGACTTTTTCCATAAAAAATTGGGTTTTGTGAGGAAGGGGTCCCCTTAAGCTAAGTGTGGAATTATACAGTAAAAAGAGTAAAATAAGAACACGTGTATCTCATAGAATGTGATTTAGTGACATTGTCATTGGATTTTACCTGTATATTCATACTCTTTCCCTTCTATGCTTGATTCGCTCCATTCTCTTTCTACAGAATATTCCAATACATCACTATTTATATAGGTATATATATGCTGAAGTAGAAACTAAAACTCAGTAAAATTTAAAATTGCACTAATTGAAATTAAAATTTTAATTTTAACTAGTGCAATTTTAAATTCGACTGAGTTTTAATTTCTACTTCAATATATATATATATATATCTAGTCGATAGGCTATCATTTACCCCAAATCAAAATCCCCAATTAGTCACTACTTTCGTATTTGAGAATTTATTTACCCCACGCGAGTATTTTTTAAAAAATGGTTTTGGAGTACCAGAGTTGGAGTAAATAATAGGCATTCCTACTCTTCGTTATAAAACTTTGAAAAAATAAGTATTTTGAAATTGGTATTTTTTAGTTTTAGACTTTGAATGGATCAAAAGCGCCAAGATAAAACAACTATAATCTTCTGGAGCCAAGAACTAACTGCTAGACTAATATGCTCTCTATGCTACTACTTACTTTACCCACCAATGCAACTTACTTGTTGCGGTGAAAGAGTCTGTGAAAGTTGTAGTAAATCCAAGTATTATTATACGCTTTTTTGATTTGATTAAATGACATATAATTTTTTTTACTATAATAGACTGAAGCAGCTATCTCAATGTCCCTTCTGCTCAGAACCGGGTACACCAGAAGTAAAAGAAAATAATAAATTATACGTTTTATATCCAATTTCTAATTTATTATTTAGACAAGACAGGATAAGGGAAATAAGCGTGAAGTGGACTCACTAAAAGTAAATTGCCCAAGATGCAATGATCAGTGGTTTGGTCTCTATATGAATCTCCCAGTAAAGATTTTATTATAAAAACAATTCCTTATCTAAAAGTATCCATATTTTAGGAGCATCTCAGTATTCATTGCGATCTTGCGTGTGAAAACTGTGACGAGAAGTTTGTTTTTCCACAGCAACGCGAACAACATCAACAGGAAACTTGCAAAAATCGCATTGTATCTTGTCCACTTGATTTTCTTGGATGTTCTCAAAAGGTATATTTTTACGTTTTAATATTAATTTTCAATTTTATAGGATAAAATCTTATATTTAAGAGTACTTATAAATATAATTTTTTTATTTATTTTTTTGTTTAGGTACGATTCAGTGATTTAAGCCAGCATTATATAAGCAATGAGCATCAAAGTTATCTTTTTTTGTTTATCAAAAATGTAGTATTACAATCGTCTGCTAGCCGTGCAAATTTAGCTATACAAAAATCGTTCAATGGACCGTATCGACGGATGCTGACGGATAATTTAGGCAGAATTAAATCATTAATTCAAGATATCGGTCGTACAATTGAGAATTGTGTTCATCTTAATTTAGAGAAGCAAACCAAACAAGCAATGCTTGACGGAATATATGCACAATTTACAGAGATTAAAAAATCGTCTGATAACAATATAAAACTCATCGAAAGTTTACATGGTATGCTGATGGATATGAGTAAACTTCTCGAAGAAATCAGATTAAAGTCATTTAATCGTCCTAAATTGTTAACAACGGATAATACGTTTATATGGAGTATCAATTTTCTTACATTAAGAAATAGTGGACAACCCATGCAGTCTGAACCTGTTCATACCTCACAGAGTGGCTATAGATTATGTCTAGGATGTGATATAACTACGGATGAACGGAATGAAAAATATATCTCAATTTCATTCACCATTCTTCTTGGAGAGTTTGATGCTATTTTATCGTGGCCAGTTCCATTTTCAATTACACTCAGTATCCTTGATTTGACGCTTGCGAAAAAACACATTACTTGTTCGATTCCAGCAAAATCTAAAGTGTTAACGTTTCAGAGACCTATCAGCAGTGCCAATCCGCCATATAGAGTGGAGAAAATCTGCCCAGTTGATACACTATCGAAAACTGGTAGCAATTACGTACAAGATGGCTGTATGTTTATTGAAGCCTGCATTGATTTTACAGCAGACAGCAGGCATGAAATTGCAGATGACGGAGTAAAGAAAACTGCATATGATCCAATGAAAACTGATGTTCCATTTAATATGCTAGTGAACTGATCATAAAGTATTATATTAATACTATAGTCCAGATCAATTCTCATATAAATTTCAAGGATTGGTGGGCAACTAGAGGACAATTGTTGGTGCTTGACATACGAAAACTTTTAAAATTAATATTCTGTTGTAAAATTTCTTCTAAAAATATATATTTTTATAAAAAACTCGACTTTAAGTTAAGATTTTAGATAGAATTTAAGATACTGAAAGGTTGAATCTATATTTGCTAACGTGACGCATTGCGCCAGATACGCTGAGTAGTATGTAAATTGAAGATCTACAGATCAATACTCTATGTGCTCATTTCTTTTCCGTTCTTTTAAAGCGTATTACCATACCTATATTTGAGCCGCTGGCTCGCCATTGAGGGTGTGGGTGTAGTGAGTGCGAGCACTATCCTTTTCATTATCACTCACTATTTTCACCCACACTCTCACCCATACCCACCCACTTCTACACCCATCCTCATATCCGAGCCCTGACCGAGTTCGATAGGCTCAGGCTCAATACATCCCTATACAAAAGGTTTCAAAGAATAATATTTTTCTCGCGTTCGTAGAACAATGTTCTGTAGACAGACCATGTTGCGGACAGAACACTTCATTTATAAGCATTTCGATGAAAAATTTAATAAAAAGTACTCACCATTGAAAATATAGCATGGGGAAAAAACCGATGCTGTACAAATGTTTTGTTTATTTTCACAGAAAAAGTCTACTTTCGTAGAATACATGCAGAGTGAAATCAGCTTACCAGCAGACAGAACAACAAAATTCTGCGAAAAGGTTGTCTGTGTCTGAGTGCGCGTAAAGAATCAATATTATACTATCGTCTACATTTTCACTTATCTTGTCGTTTCTACGAATTATGCCCACATCGGCATCGACACTCAAACCCTTATCTACGCTCACACTCACACTCTCGAAGCACGGTGTTGTTTGTTGGCATAAGACAAGAAAAAAGGAAGGAAGAAAAAAGTAACTTGGAAGAAACATTGCATGTGATCACGTTGAGTATAGGAAGTATACAGCAGACTATTTTTAAATTCATTCAAACATTGTTGGAATTATTTGGAAAAAAATAACACAATTAAAAACAAAGATTTTAATTAATATTACTTTTATCAGTAGTGTCAAACTTGAAAGTTAAATTCAGCTATTCAGTTATTGAATACTTGCATTTTTCAAATATTCACTCACACCTACCCTAACAACACCTAACTACACCCACACCCTGGCAGCACCATACTACATCCACACTCACCACAGCAACACCTACGTCACCCCTACGCGGAATAGTTAAAACTTCAAATACTCAATACTTTAATGCTTGAATATTTGAATTCAGGTTTCAAATATTACATATATAGATGAATTGCACAATCATTATAGTGTGGGTGTTTCCACTATCCCTCACCGACAGCCACCCATATCGACACCCAAACCCACAATCTCATCCGCATCCACACCCACATCCACAAGATGCGTACGTCGAGAAAGTAAGAAAAAAGGGAAGAAAACTCGGACAGGATTACAATAAATAGACAATAATTAACCTATTAATTTGATTATTATCAACTGACAATCATTAGAATTAATCTATTTTCATTTCATCAGTGAAAGATTTCGTATTGAAAAAAAATATATACTTTCATATTGGCGCTCAAAAGAAAAATTTCTACTCATTCGTGATAACATTGACTCAATAAATATTATTAATATGTCTTTCAAGTATACAAGTACTAAACGACATTCATCATTGAATGATGTAATACTAGACACATATAATTGTGATTTAACAATGATTGTTAAACATGATTGTCTTCGTGGTGAATCTATGATTGAAAATGGTTTATGTTCATTATGGTCAGGAATACGAGCAACATATGGAATGAATCAAGGACGTATTGCATATCAAATAAAAGTATTCGATTGCCGAATAAATATTCAAGTAAATAAATATTATTTCATTTAGATTCGTCGTCATATACATTGTTCTGAATTATTAAATAACGAAATTCCGTTCGGTATCCGAATTGGTTGGTCAGTTGATGGAAATAAATTTTGTCTGGGTATTTATTTTTAATAAAAAAATTTTTTTTAATATTCTTACTTGTTATTTCTAGGTAAACAATCATTATCTTATGGATATGAACAAAGTGGAAAATTTTGGACAAAAAATCAATTTGAATGGTATGGTGAACAATATTCAATTGGTGATATAATAACATGTTATGCAGTATAAATATATTCTTTAAAAAGTTTATTTCTAATTATTTATTAAAATAGGATTTTGAAAGTGAACCTGGCAATGTATTACTATCTTTTGCTAAGAATGATTTAAATTTTAACTTAGCATATCGTATTAATTATAAAGATTTATATTTTCGTCCATTATTTCCTCATATATTCATTAAAAATATTTCGTTTCAAGTTAATTTTGGTCAATTAAATATAGTTTGAAAATAGTTCATTTTGTATTATTAATTTAAAAATAAATAAAACTACGTTTATAGAAATATCCTCTACGAACAGGTTTTCATTTTATAAATAATTATCATGAAGACGAACGAATTCGAGGTATATTACAACCATCAAGTAAAGAAGAATGTGAAGTAAATCATTTTCTTTTAATTTATTTATTACTTAATCTTACACATAGGTAATTATGATGGTGGGTTTACCAGCAGCTGGAAAATCCCTTTGGATTGAACGACATTGTGCTATTTATACAGATAAAAAATATGTTATACTTAGTACAAATAATATTATTAAACAAATGAATGTAAATATTAAATAGTCATTTATCAACACCCATACCCTTTATTTGTATAGATTGATGATTGTGATGGTAACTCAGAAATAATTGATCGAGCCGTACAATGTCTGAAGACAATACTGGATAAAGCTGTAGGTCTAAAACGAAACTTTATCATTGATCAGGTTCATTTTGTTTTAAATTGTATTTATTGATTTTCATGTAAGACTTTAGACAAATGTTTTTGGAAATGCTCGTCGTCGTAAAATGTCTTTGTTTGATGGTTATTTTCGACGAGCTGTTGTAGTTGTTCCTAACAATAATGAATATGAACGACGAAGACATCAACAACAAATTGAACAAGACAAATTTACTCCTGATTTATTCATTAATGAAATGAAAAGTTAATCGAAAAAATATATTAAATATAAATATAAAAATTTATATATTTATATTTTAGCTAAATTTGATTTACCTGAAGTTGGTGATGGTATATTATTATATTTAAAGATGTGCCTTTCTTTTCGAAATATTTGTTTATAGTATTTGATGATGTTGAATATGCTGAATTAGCATTTCGTGAAGCTCGTGATCTTGTAATGTATTATCGTCAACAAAGTCAAATAGTTGAAGAAATATTAAGAAAAAATAATAAACGAAAGAGAAAAGATAATTCTTGGATACATTCAAAGAAAAATAATCAGAAATCAATTCAATTCAACGACAATCGAAATGATCATAATATTCAATTATCATTTCGTCATAAAAATTCTTCATCACAATCTTATTCTAAACAGCATCATTATCATTCTAGACGAAGACGTATGTTGTTCTTTTTTCTATATTTTATCATTTTTGTTTTGAATTTTAGACATGAATTATAATTAATACTTCATTTTTTATTCAAAAGTGGTTAAAAGAGCTAATTATATTCTAGAATAAATCTTCCAATCTTTTTTCTTAAATATGATTAAGTTTTAAAATCTTTATATTGATATAAAATAAATAATATTATTGAATTAACCGTATGGATAGTTAATAATCTTATGAGGATTTTTTTGTTAATTACGCTATATGATTTCTACTTGGTATGCGCCAGTCCTTCAAGTCATTTAAATTTACTATCGATTAGACTATACAAAGCTATTGTTAAACTTTGAAGAATTAGACGGAAAGAAAAAAGGACTGGGGGTGACTGGTAAAAAAACCGAAAATTTCCGATTTTTTAACAGCCACCCCCAGTCTTTTTTTTCTATCCGTCTTATTTTTCAAAGTTTGAAGGATTGGTGCATGTCTAATTTCTACTGGAATTGATCATATTGAAAAATAATAATTATTTAAAAATGTGAGTATTCATGTACTTTGTTTTGTTAGTTCTTGTTAACCTGTGTCAATAGAAATCAATAGAATTGTTTGCATTTAACAAAATATAAATTTAATTCATAATCGTCCAAAAATTTATTCTATATTCTCAATATTAATTGTTTCTTACCGATAGGATTCTTATTGACATTTTGTCGTTGTTTCTATTTGATCGAATAACAATGCACAAATTATATTTTTGCATCCATTGTAGTAGAATATAAAAGACACAATACATCAACCTTACTGCAAACAAATAAAGTAAATAGAAATCGAGATTTTTAATTAAAAGAAATTTATCGATAAAATTTATTTTCTATTTTGACGATAAATATGTTTTTATTTTAGTTCGAATAGATTAATGAAATAATGAGTAGACAAAAAAATATATCGAATTATCAATTAACATCACAATATGATATATTAGAATGGCTTGATCCAATCCCTCTATCTCGATCAATCCATAATATAGAATCCGATTTTGCTGATGGAATATTAATTGTTGAAATAATTGCTTATTTTTTTCCTGAATATGTTAATTTTGATATATTTCATATAGCTCGAAATATGTCACAACGTGCTAAAAATTGGCGTTTATTAAATTCGAAAATCTTACCAAAAATAAATTTACAAGTACCTGGAACTATTGTACATGATATAATAAATGAAGAACATAATAGTATTGCAACATTTCTTATTCATTTACGAGAAAAAATTGAAGAACATATAATTCAAACAGAAAAACAAAAATTTCGTTTACAATGGAAAACATATCGTTCATTGAATTCTGACAATTATCATTTACCATCGATATTTTTATCATCACGACCAATTGATCAGGCATCTCTTACTCGAAATGAAAGATTAATGAATCAATACGTAGATGATTATGATAATAGTTTAAGAAGAAAAAATGAAGAAATCGAAATTTTACGTGCGAAATTAAAACGTTGTGAAAAGATTATTCAGAAACAAGATAAACAAATTCAAGAATTACAAGAAAAATTCAAACTAAAATAATTTTCTCTATAAAATTTTTGTGTTTTTCTTTTCGATATTTTTATAAACACAAGAAATAATAAATTATTTATTCAAATATTTTCATCAACTGATTTTCTATCTGAATGATATAGTTCATTATCTATAATAAAGAAATTTCAAAATTTTACGTAGCATTTTTTTCTTTTTCGGATGATTTTTACACCAATAAGAATATCTAGAGAAAAGATAAAATATTCTATTGTTTAACCTATATTATGTTATTCAATATCATATCGTCGCAATATTATCTTATCACCTTGAAACAAACGTACTTTTCGTATGATAAAACAATACAATAGACATATATAAATAGAGAATAAATACAAGAATAAGTTTATTCATTGAAAAAAAATGAGTATTATATCTATTCTTCTTATCTTTTTCATTCTATTTCTTTCTATTTATATAATTTACAATCGTTTTTGTTATTTTTCAAAACGTTCAATTCCATGTCCGCCAGTACGCTCAATATTATTTGGACATTTAAGTGATCTTTGGTCAGTTAAATCTTATTCTGAACAACTTCATCAATGGACTCAACAATATGGTAGTGTCTATGGTATATTTGAAGGTACTCGACCTGTCTATGTGATATCTGATATAAATTTTATTGAAGAAATATTTATTAAACAATTTGCTCGGTTTCATTCTCGACGTATCACATTAATAAATCGTGTATTAGGTGAAAAAAATTTCAATGTTCTTACAGCACATATATCACAATTATGGAAAAAACAACGTAAAATACTTAATCCAACATTTAGTGGTGCGAAAATGAGACGATTATTACCAACAATAAATACATGTGTAAATATTTTTATGGAAAGATTAACAACACAAACAACAGATGGAACAATATTTAATATTTATAAAATATATAAACGTTTAACAATGGATGTTATTTGTATGTTTTTCAACATTTTTTATTTTTAATTCTTCTCAAGGATTTCTATTGTAGGTCGATGTGCATTTGGTATTGATACAAATGTTCAATATGATGTTTATAATGAAAATATTTATATGAAAAAAGTAGAAGAACTTTTTGCTAAAGATTCTGAACGTGCATTCTTAGCTAAAATACATCGAATTACAGCACATACATTATTGACAAATATATGTCCAATCATATTTCGTTTAAAAAGATATTTTCGTACGAAAAATTCACCAATTCAAGCTAATCTTTGGTTAATGGAACATATGCATGAATTTATTCAACAAAGATCAATTGAAGAAGATCATCAGAAGAAATCGATTGATGATCTTCTACAATTAATGATCGATGCTGTTCATTCAAATAAAGTTCGAATTATTTTTTGTCTTATTAACAAAAAATAATTTTTCTATTTAAATATTTAGGATCAATTATTACCAACAGAATTATTAAGTAATGTATTTATTGTACTAGCAGCTGGTTATGAAACAACATCAACAGCACTAGGTTATTGTACTTATCGTCTTGCTTTACATCAAGATATTCAAGAAAAAGTCTATGAAGAACTTAGAGAACATTGGTCTGCAAATGATAATTCTTATGATACTATTATGTCAAAATTAACTTATATGGATTTATTTGTTCGAGAAGTTTTACGTATGCATCCTATTGCTATTCAAGTTGTTAATCGTCAATGTAATGAAGATACACATGTTGCTGGATATGATATTCAAAAAGGTTTTTTTTTAAGATAGTTTAGAATAGAAAATTAATATAGAATTTTATTTTAATTAGATACATTAATTCAAGTTGATGTTCTTTCTGTTCATTATGATCAAGATCTTTGGGGTCCGGAACCTGTAGATGAGTTTTGTCCAGAACGACATTCTGATAAACGACATCCACTTGCATTTATGCCATTCGGTGCAGGGCCAAGAATATGTATTGGAATGAGATTTGCACTTAGTAATATTTAATATTATTACAAATCTTTTTATTTTATCTATATTTTCTATATTTTAGTGGAAATAAAATTATGCTTGGCTCAATTGATTAGTGCATATCATATATTACCTTCATCATCTGAAGGATATAAAATAAATACTGAAGAACAAATTGTCATTGCACCTGAAAAAGTTTTTGTTAAACTTGAAAAACGAATTTAATTTTCTTATGAATATTAGATTACACATAAACTTATTATTAAATTTTTCAATGTAATATTTACTTCTGTTTTTTTTTGTTAGTAAAATAAAATAAAAATAATATATATAGAAGAAGATGATGGATCTATTTACTTCATGAGAGATATTTGATAGTTGAGGATGTGGACGTCAGTGTGGATATTACCACACGCCCACACCCAAATCGATAATATTTTTTTCGAATGAAATTTAATCCAGCTAATCACGTATAATAATTCGTCTTTGTTAACCTGTCTGTAGGGCTAAGAGAGAGAGAGTAAAGGTGTATATGAGTATATCTCATAGACTTTATTTAATTCAAGAATAACGTGTCCTTACAAGGAAGAAAAAGAAAAAATGTGATGCATAATCACATTTTTAAAACAACGCGCATAAGAAAGAGTGATGCCTTGAATTAGAAACACAGAATTACTATTGAAGTAAGAGGGAATAATATGAATATTACACTCTTATTAAACTCAATGGGATTTGACTGTATTGCTTACTTTGCTTCATTTTTTCCCTTTACATTAATATAGTGCATCAATATGCTCTTGTTTTTATTTTTTCCATTGCCTGTCATTTATTATTCAATAGGTATTTTCGTAAAAATTTCCAACTTGAATATAAATATCGCGAAAAATTTCACCATTCTAAAAACATACATGACTCAGTATGTTTTTTACATGGGACATTGCTGAAAATATTAACAATAATCAAGTACGATAATGCAATAAATTAATGTCAATTTAAAAACGGAAGTAGACTTACATCTGGTTGATTCTCAACGCATCGCATTTACATATAAGAACACAATAATCATCAAATATTTTGATTTACTTTTATCGTTATTTATAACTTGAAAAATTACAAGTATTTTTCTTTTACCTTGAATTTTGTCTTGAGACTATATTTTTTTCCATAACATTATTAACACTATAGCCTTACAAATGAAAACTTATCTTCACCTAACAGTCAAATATTGATATTATCAAGATAAAATGAAGTATTTAATTCTGATAACTTTTTTTATCAAGGATATAATCAAATGTATCGAACAAATCGTTTATAACATATTAGATATATAGGTAACAAGGCCATTAGAAATATAACAAATTCAATTAGTTATTTTATTATGTTTTCGTTATAATTAACATTTCAATCTTAGTATTTTATTATTTCTTAAATATCATCAATTACAACATTTTATGTTCCTTTGATAACTACTATGTAGTTATATATTTATTGTACAAATCAAAAAAGGAAATGTAAAAATAGTCAAATTATTGATGCACGTTTTCATGTGGTTTTTATGGTAGTTTCAATTCTTCATCAGTCGGTAATTTCTCAAAAAATCGGGCGATATCATGATCGGAAATGTCACTCAATGCAGTTGGTTGCCAGCGAGGCTTGTTATCCTTGTCGACAAGAACTTCAAATACAAATCGTTACAAGTGAACAAGCGAAAAGAAGTATACTGACCTGCACGAGAGCCTTCAAAAAAATCGTTGCGTTTCATCAAATGTTGAGCGATATTATATTCCATTTTTAGACAATCTTTTAAATCCAGGTGTTTGCCACGTTTCAATTGCTCAAATGTGAGCTTAAGCGACGTTGGACTCTACAATAGAAGAAGCAGTGACGACAATAGCGATCACTTCCTAAGATTAACTGACCTTTGTTTGGAGAACTGCATGTTGTTTTAAGGCAAATTCTGAGCCATTCGATTTCAGTTCTTGCATAATACTTTCTACATTTTTTACATCCAAGGAGAAAATTCGATTGATCAGTGACAAGTGCGGTCCAAGAGTGAATGGTGTATGTAACTGAGCCTTAATAGAAAATTATTAGAAAATCAATACACAAGTAAGTATAATAATCGAATGAATAGAATTTTTCAAGATGATAGTTTATCCTCAAGGATGACCTTCAAACTATTCAATCAAAATGAAATGTCGACGAATTTCTGTATCAGTATGTATAAGATTCCTCGAAAACATAATATCCAACGTACATTATCATAAGGTGAATTACAAGCTCCTGAATTTTTTCTTGCACTCTCGAAATTATATACCACTTAAACTATCAATCAATGGAACTGAATAGTTGAAGCAACGAACGCAAATTTAAAGATGCTATAAGCCTAGTCTTTCTTATGCAAATTACATATAATAGGAAAAAGTAATGGGAAAGAACTATTGTGTCGTTCTCTGACACTCTCGACGCTATTCGATAACATTTTCTTTTAATATAAGGCTATCAGAACAATTTGATTTTAATAAAATTTGACGAAGACTGTAGGCATAAATGAAATATCACTACTGTCGTTTTTGGTAGAGTGAAATTAAAGAAGGCAATCAGAAACGAAAAATGGGTTCATTCATCCTCTTCATCTCATCGTTTACCGCTTCATTGTTTTCGTCTAACACTCTTTTCACTGATTCGTGATTGGCGTTGGAGATCGTAGCGAGTTTTTGTTCAACATGTGCCAACTACATAAAATGAAGAAATACAAAATTACGCTGGTAAAAATTACAAGATAATAAATATGCGTACTCGACTACTTTGTACAAAATGTGTGGCAAGTCCAACGTGAACAACGTCGAGACCACGAAGACGGTGGCCTGTCAAAGCGAGAAAAACACCGATATTGTTGGGTAAACGAGGTAAGAAATATGAGCCACCAGCGTCAGGAAAGAATCCTAAAAAATGAAGCATACACAAACTTTAGCTTCGAAAAACATGATATTTTTAATTAAATACCAATTGAAGTTTCAGGCATGGCAAGAGTAGTCATTTCAGTGGCCACTTGGAACGATCCGTGAAGAGACATACCACAACCCTTAAACGTCAAAAATATGGTCATATATAAATGGAACAAAACTCATTTCAACGTGACTTACTCCACCCATGGTAATTCCATTGATGAGAGCAACGTAAGGTACTTTACATACACTAGTTAGATAATACGTTTGATATCCATCATAGAAAAAATCACGACGCAATCTTTCTCCATCTATAGTCTTTGCTAGAAGACCTAAAAAAAAAAATTTACGTAATGCATCGAAAACAAATCTGTCGCCTTACCTTTCATATCACCACCAGCAGAGAAAGCTTTTGATCCTGCTCCTTTGATAATTATTAATTGTGTATAGCCATCTGAATTCCATTCCTAATTTTATCAATTTCAAGAATGTTCAGTATATTCAACATCTTAATCTACCTGTAATTTCGAAGACATAAGTCGACCCATTGCTATCGTCATACAATTCAATTGTTTTGGTCTATTTAACTGGATAATACCCGTTCTATTAACATGAAAAAATTTGACATCATCATCCGTTGCATTCGACTCTGTTGCTGCTTTTTTATCGGATACTGGACTCGTCGATGTAGTCAAATTACAGACCAATGTTCGATGTGATTGATGTAAACACGAGTGCGTCAGTGCTCGAAACATGATTTATCTAAAGTACAAAGCGAATATCTTAATTTTTTTCTATTTTCAGTTTTTTACTAACAAAAGAAGAAAAACAAACAAGAAAAAATATTTCTACAAAAACCTAATGCAGCAACTGGACAATAGTGATAAATTATAAAGAAGAAACAAGGTCCAGAATATAACTTTCGTTCCTAAATAAAAATGAGAGAACGAAAAAAAATAAAAAATCGAAATACTCACTAGCAAAAAGAAGAAATAAACAAATGTAATTAATGTGTATAAATATGTATACTGTTAGAAATAACTCCGAATGGTAATGATATATATACTATCAAAAATACACGCTTGACAGACTCGGGTCAGATCAAGTCGGGATATAACCTTGAAAGTGAAAAGGTAAGTTCGTGACATACTAGGGTTAAACCAGGTCAGATTACGCAAGGACATTTTAGTCTCGTCTCGGGTCAGATCACAAGAAACTTAACTCGTGTCGAGTTCGGGCATGCAGTAAGTTCACAACTGTAAAACAGTAGCAAATGCTCATTCGAATAACAGTATATCCATTTAACATAAAAAATTATTTCTATCAGATTAAATTGAAGTAGAGGATTAAGTTATTAACGGTCCTTCAATCTTTTGGACCTCGGGACACCTCCGATAAGGAATATATATCATTTTCAAGTTAGGTTTGATCGTCTAGAATAAGAACGAATCAAAACTTGTTTTTTTTATTTTAATTTAAATTAATAAATTAATAAAACCTCAAATCTCATAAATATTAAAAAAAATATTCAATGAATTAATTTATTCTTTCTACAATTATATCAATATTCATCGACAATCCCAGAAGATAAAAGAATTTTTCTTTTGTCGATTTTATATTATAGAAATAGTCAAGTTCAGAGAAAATAACAACAATAGAGTTGGACCTGATGAAGTAATTTACTAATTAGAAAGCAAATAGTCTTATTTTATTTTTGAGTATTGCAGTCTACAGTAGTTAACGCTAATAGAACGCCATTAAGAACATTGTATATATATTACGAATTACAATAAATTATTTTGATGATTTATTATTCTATCTATAACCATTGTGACATTATCACTAGCATGCGCTGTATGCATGTTATTTGTGTGACACTCTCGCTTACATGCACTATACGCATGCTATTTGTCCTTACAATTATTATCATGATGCACTCAGATATTACCTTTCCGTTCACTCGATTTGATGGACGAATGTACTCACGTAAAAAAAACGTAACAAATCTGATTTTTCATCGACAAAAAAATCATTGAAAATCTGTTTTTTTCTAAAAATCAATGGAAATCGATTTTGATCAGGGTCATCAATATTCTTGCATAAATGAGTGAATATCGGATTATATCGTGCCTGGAAATATGATAGGAGTATCACAGGTTGCTCTGCCATTGTACTTACTATATGTCAATGCAAGGATTCTGAAAACAGAGTCCAGAAGTCTGATCGATAGCTGGAAACTAGAGAAAAACACGTTTTTCTTCATTATGATTAAAATCGATTTTTTGTTAGGAAAGCTATTCAAATATATTATCTGCTGAGAATTTACCGGTTAAAATATATTCTTTTCAATGATTCAATCAATGAAAATCAGTTTCTGTTATAAAAAAATCTATTTAAATCGATTAGCATTTAAAGAAGGATTCAAATACATTATCTGAACTATTTAATATATTATAATCGATTTTCATTAGCGAAATTTATTGAAATCAATCATTGTTTTTAAATTCCATTGTAATTATTTAATCAGAAAATGTGGTATTTAATCAGATTCTTTTGGTTTTTCTCAAAAAATCGATTTTAATCAAATTTTTTGTAGTTTTTTTTCACTTGGGTATAGAAGCGTGTGTTGTGTATCAGAACGATGCGATCCTTGAGAGGAAGAAATAAATAATGGCCTAATGTCATCAGCACATACACCTCTTTCATCAGAAATCATCACAATCATTGTCGAAAGAGAAAACTAGTTTGGATAATATTTATTATTATTTGTATTGTCATAATTATAGCTGTTCTAATAGCTACTGTTTTATTGAATAAAACTGAAAGAAAAAAACCATCAACAGTGGAGATGGCAACAACTAGAGGTAGTATGATTTTGTTAAAACTAATGGGTCTTAGAATTTTCCCAATGCGAATTTTCCCAATACATATTCTGGAATTCTGCCAGTTTCACTGTGAATTAGATGTAGACTTAAAAACTTTTCTTAGTTACATTGATGAGTGTAAGCTATGATATATTTATACTAATAACATTAATGTGAGCTCTAACATATATCCTATATTAAGATTGTTTCGCAATAACTGGCAAAATCCATTGTACTTTCAATACTGGCGAATGTTCTGTTTGCAACAGTCTTATTGGCGAACGTCGCGCAAACTAAACTAGTTCATTTCTTACTTAAAATAATTCATAAAAGAGAAATTAGTTTTTCTTTATTCAATCTTAAATATTTTATTCGAATAATCACATAAAATAGTTTAATCTTCGATGATCGATGATCGATAATCATACATCTATAGAATAGTATCGAATTCATAGTTCATCTGTCTACACTCACATCTACATAATCGTAATTTATATAGTGATATCAAAACATTGTTTTCAATAAAATAAAATATGTTTTATTTTTAAGAAATAAATTTTAGATGGAAAGAAAAGAAAACAAAGTTGAAATTTTTCTTAAATATTTTATAAAACAATTAATTTCTGTTGTCATTAATAATAATACGAAATGGAAAAAGGATGTGTTTACTGCTGCTGGAAGACATGGATCATGAAGTAAATTAAATCATTTAGATCATCCTCGTGGTATTCATGTTGATGGTGATAATTATATTATTTATATTTCTGACAAAATCAACCATCGTATTATTAGATGGAAATTTGATGAAAAGAATGGTACAATTATTGCAGGTGAAAATGAACCTGGACAGGAAAGGAATGAATTAAATCAACCAACAGATGTAATTCTTGATGTAGAGAAGAAATACCTCATCATTTGTGACTTTATCAATTTACGAGTAATGCAATAGTCCCGTCAAAATAGTCACCATTAACAAATATTGAGAGCATAGGTGTGGATATTACCTTAGTATCACACCCACACCTATGTGAATGATGATGTTTTATCAAAAATCTTTTGAGCTGATAGAAGTGACAACGTGATTACTTTCCAATAGAATAATTTGATTTCGAATTCCAAATATTCCCATTATTTGAAAATCTTTGCCTTTGACAACTGACATAAAGATCAAAAAAGTATTACTATGTTCTGTTGTGCTGATGGCATTAAAAAAAAGTAAGAGGACGCCACTAAGCAATTATTCTATTAGAATTATTTTCATAAAAAGAAGAACTATGTGATCATTTCATTCATAAAGATTATTGTTAATTTTTGTGAAGAATCTAATAATAATAAAACTCGATATTATTTTCTTATCGAAGGTTTTGTAGACTTGTTAATCATTGGTCAAGATATTCTCCAATAGCAATCGATTATGACTCAGTAGTACTAACGAGATCTTTTTCGAAGTTCGAATTAATTTATTATTTCGAAATCATAACCATATTATTAATATTTTCTATTAAATTTTAGAAACATGTCAGCAAATGATAGATTAACTCGAAGTTTACCTCATTTACAAAATTTAATTAAACGAGATCCAGATGCTTATAAAGAAGATGTAAATAAAAATTTCTTTTCCATTAATTTTCTATTCTTAATAATTTAGTTTAAACTTCAATATCTTCATTTTGAAAGTCAATTTATGGAATTAACAGCTAAACCAGATGCATGGAATAAATCATTAGCTGAAAATATTTCATTTGTTTCACACGTATTTTTTTTTTATTTATTAAAAAAATGTTTTTTCAAGTTTTATAATGCAAATAGGTTGCTCATTGTTATAAAGAAGAATGTAAAGGATTACCACAAATGTTTATCGATGTTTTAAGACTTTATTCAACTGTTCTTAATAATGACATTCGACTTGTAAATATATATATGAAAAATAATTTTCAATAAAAAAGTCTTTTAATATTAATTTCATATAGGTAATTGTTCGTGCATTAATATTAATGCGTAATCGTGGATTAATTGAATGTATTCAATTATGTGAATTATTTTTTCTTCGTTTATTACAATGTCAAGATCGTCTTTTACGTGTTACTATTCAAACACATATTATTAATGATATTAAAAAACAAAATGAAAAACATAAGAATCATAAATTAAATAGTGTTAGTTTATCTTTTTTTCTCGTGTTCTTATATGAAAATTCTTATTATGATGTTTTTTTAGGCATTACAAAATTTTATGTGTACTATTATTAAAGAAAGTAATGCAATCGCTGTTAAAATGGCACTTGTAAGATTTTTGATGCTCAAATTAAATATACGAGAATTTTATTTCTAATGATTATACAGTAATAAGATGTTTCATAGAATGAACTTTGAATCTTCGAGTTCCGACGAAGAAATTACTGATGATCGAGTAGATATACAGATTTGGAGTAAAGTGAGAGTCTTGTACGATCTTCACTCTTTGATATCCTATTTGAGAATCTAACACGTAGTTAGAGCCAATAATAGACAAGTTGTTTGAAGTGTAAACTCGCTGCTCCGAGAAAAATCTAGATGGGCCAATGATAGGGCAATAAAGAAGCACTAGACATCATCTTCAGATAATTCTTCGCCTTTACTTTTGGTTTAATCTCTTTCCTGTGTTAATATCAGTTACAGCGAATCGATGAATCATCCAATGAGACAGACCAGAATGAAATCATAATAAAGTTATGTAAATAAACATAAAATTGTAAGACGTATGAAATATTTTATTAGAAACGTATTTTCAGTCACTAAATATTCGTTAATAGAACTTATGAAATTATTTTCTTTTATATTTATTTAGGACATAATGATTGATTTATATCGAAAAAATATTTGGAATGATACAAAATCAGTTAATATCATTGCTTCAACATGTTTCTCGAAAATAACAAAAGTAGATTTAATTATTTTATTAAATTATTTTATTTTTCTTAAATCTTTAATTTTAGGTTCAAGTTGCTGCATTAAATTTCTTTCTTTGTAACTATTCAGCTAAAGATGATGATAAAAATGGTGATTCCGATGATGTAAAATTGAAGAAAAAATTTATTTATTTATTTATTCATTTAAATTTTTTGCGTTATTAGGATGATAAATTAACAAAAAAAGATATTTTACTTGGTCATCGTGTTGGAAAAAAAACACAAAAAAGAAAGAAACAAACTGAACGAGCATTAAAACAACTTGAAGTTAGTTATTTAATTTAAAAAAAGAAAATCTTTATTATTGTTTTTTTGTCTGTAGAAACAACAAAAGAAAAAAAAAGTTGAAGTATACGATTATTCTGCTTTACATCTTCTTTATGATGCACAAGGTAAACAAAACAAAAAAGCGTAAATAATAAAATCAAATATAATTTTTGTTTGAATTATAAATAGATTTTGTTGAACGTTTATTTCGTCAATTGGAATCATCTAATGAACGTTTTGAAGTAAAATTACTTCATCAAGATTTAATATCACGTTTAATTGGTCTTCATCAATTACTTGTATTAAATTTTTATCCATATTTACAACGATATCTTCAACCACATCAACGTCAAGTAACAAAAATACTTTTATATGTTGCACAAGCATCACATGATCTTATTCCACCTGATATTTTACAAAGTATTTGTAAAACAATTGCAAATAATTTTATTACAGAACGAAATTCCGGTGAAGTTATGGCTGTTGGGTTTGTTTGAAAATATTTTATTAGACGAAAAAAAATAAATTTAATTTTCTTATAGTTTAAATACAATTCGAGAAATTTGTTCAAAATGTTATTTAGCTATGGATCAAGATTTATTACATGATCTTTCAAAATATAAATCATATCGTGATAAATCTGTTTCAGCATCTTCTCGATCATTAATTCAATTATTTCGTGAAAAAAATCCACATCTTTTAGAAAGAAAAGATCGAGGCAAACCAACAGAATTTCAAAGAGATCTTATGCCACTTGATTATGGACAAGTTAATCCGAAATCGTATCTTGAAGGAGCAGAAATACTTCAAGAAAATATTAATGATCAAGATAAACAAGCAAATAAAGATGATGACGATGACGAACAAAGTGAAGAAGAAGGTTGGGTTGAAGTTTCACATTCGGAAGATGATGATGATGAAGACGAAGACGAAGACGAAGAAGAAGAAGAAGACAAGGATAATGATGAACAAGAAAACAAAGATAAAGTAAAATAGATTAAAATTAACGGGAACAAAAACATATTTTCAATCTTATTTTCTCACTCTATATATAAAGCTATAACTATTAGATTCTATTTAGGTAAACTGTAATGAAACATGAAAAATTCTAATAGCGTTTGTGTGACCTAAGATTTTGTCCATTAATAGATCTTATCATTACTAGAATCTCCTACAAGTTTTTTGAAATTTGATAATCTTTTTTATATCTCATTCACGTCGACGTATCACCAAAAGATGTTCTTGTTTCGTTTACTTTAATCTTCTAAATTAATACAATACTAAAAAGAACATTTATTTTTAATTTTGAAATGTTAGGTTGAAGTACCAATGACAGAAGAAGAACGTCGTGAACGTGCTATGCAAATTAGTAGTCAAAGAATTTTAACACAAGAAGATTTTGAACAATTAAAAGCTCTTGAAATAAAAAAACGAGTACAAGATCGAAGACGAAATCGTTTAGAACAACCATCATTACCAAATGGTAAAAAACGTAAAACAATATCAATTGATACTGATTCAGATTCTGATGCTGAAAATAAAACAAAATCAGAACAAAAGTTTGTTGAAATTCAAAACAAAAATTGATTTTTATTTTTGAAAAAAAAACATTTGTTTTAGTTCGGGATTAATATCATTGAAAGATATTGAACGAGTTAATAAAAAACGTGCTCATGATAAAGAATCTCGTTTAGCAACTGTTCTTGTAAGTTTAATAATTAAAAGAATTTTTCTAATAATTTCTTTTGTTTTTTTATTAAATCAAAGGCTGGACGTGAAGGTCGAGAAAAATTTGGTAAATGGAAAAAAGAAAAAGGTCGTGTTGGTACAACAAATAAAGAAAAATTGAAAACGAAAAATTTTCAAATGCTTAAACCAAAACTAAGAAGAAAACAAAAACGATCTTTTCGTGATAAACAGGTCTAATTAAATTCAATCTTTTTTTTTCATTCGAAATATTATTTTTTTCTTATTTTAGATTGCACTCAGAGATTCGTTGATTAAAGATAAACGTCTTCGATAATTGTTTATTTTTTTCTTTACCGAATAAAATATATCATCGTTAAGTGTTCACGAAACTCAAAACAATTAAATTTAACATAGACATAGACTATCAAATAATGAATTTATAAGCTTATCGAAATATTGTAAAATGTTAAATTTAATTATGAAAAATGATCTATTGTCAATAACATTTTCTAAGAACTTTCATCGAAATTAATTTTGATGAGGATTAACTATTTTTAGAAATAATTTAAACTTACATTAAATTTAAAAAAAGATTTATAATTTAAATCACGTCTGGCGGAAGGAAATGGTTTCAGTTCAAATTTTTTTATAGATTCACAAAATTTTAACTAAGAGTTTTATTTAAACCCAGTAATCCCTACAGTTTATGAAACATATATTCTAAAAATAACTACTATTTTTATCTATTAATAATCGCAATGGCTTCTATTATGATGACATAAAATCAAGAACTTTATTGCAAACAGATTAATTTAAATTCAATCTTGATATACATTTGGAAAGAATTATTAAGTGATTTGTTCTACAAGAGCTTATGGTTTAAATCAATATCTGCGAACATAATCAATCAATAATATTATCTTATATAAAATCTGGATCTTGACTTACTGGTTAACCCTCTAGAGTGACCTTTTTTTTTTATCTAAATAGATTAGTAATTAAGTCAGAAATTTAGCGGTGTCATTTTTGATTAAAGTGTAAAAAGAAAATTTGTATGTTTATTTTAAGATTAATCTAGGTATATAACGGATAGATTCAAAGTTTATTTATTTTATTCGAATATTGAAAAATGTCAAAGAGGCTATTACATACAATTTTTGTTATTAAATAAGGATTGCATGTTTTGATTGTTTATATAAAAAAGAAAGATTTTCTGAAGAAACACGCATCAGGTTTCATTTAGTAGTTAATCGATATCAGATCTTTTCGATTTAATCTGATTATTTCCATTCAAAGTTAACTATATTAAAAGAGAAAAGAACAAAATCGATTTGTTAATAATCGTAAATTGACTTCCTTTTTTTTCTTCTTTAAGAGGATGACAAGGAAATTATGATTGATGAAAATATTTTTATTTTATTTCCTTAAGCAAATAAAAAAGATGTGTAACAAAACAAATTATATTTATCGTTTTTATTAGAAATGTTCTTAACTTTCATTGTTATTGTTTGGATTATAAGTAGCACCTGTTTCTCTCAATTTGATGTCATTCGATCAAATTTAGTAGAAATACAATTGAAAAATATTTTTCTTATTGTTATTTTGTCAAAAATTGCTTTTGATTGATGTCGCATTTCTATCACAATTTTTGACTGGAAGGAAATATCAATCTTGGATAATAGTATTAGAAATTGACTACGACAAGAAAAAGGAGGGACGTGTTTTTTTTTCTTATTTTTATTTCAAAAAAATGGATCTGTAAGTAACACAGAAGGTAATTATTCTTTTCTCTTTTCTTAAACTCATTCATTTTGTTCGTATGATGAAGTAAAAAAAAGAAATTAGATATTCGGCTTTTTTAACTAAATAGAATGAATATAAATCGGATTTGTTTCTTTTATGTAAAATAATGAATATATATTTTGTGAAATTATACATTATAAATATAATCTTATTAGCTTTATTAAAAGCGTCTTTCATGTTTTTTTTTTCTAAATGATAAAAAAACATTTCTTATTAGTTTTTAAACAATCTTAAAGATAAAATCAATTGAATTTGTTTTTGTTATGAAATATAAAGTCAAAAAGACTTGAAGATATTTAATCATCATCAAAAATAATCAGTAAATCTATAGAGAGAAAAAATAAGTCATTAGAATCTCTTGAGGAAAAAAAAGAGAACTAACAAATATTATACCAAATGACAATTGATGTTTCTCAATAAGTATGTTTTCTCTAATAAGTAAAATTTATTTATTTAATGAAGAAAATAGAAAATATCTATTTTTGACATCATAACAATAGGATAGAAGTTAGATATTTTTATCAATGCATAAATGATAGAGTGAGGAAAAGAAGAGAAAAAAAAGCGAGAAGAATGGAAGACATCATCGACCGTAGGTGGTATAAGTATCATAATAATCATGACCTGTTTCTCATTAATGAGTCTAACACATCAAAGTCATTCAACATACTTTTTCATATTGGTAAATCACATGAATATCAGCATGTTTATTCATTGTTAGTACTATCATTTGGATTTGTTAGAAGATAGTCATGCATACAATTTCATAAATATATCCATTCTGGTAACTTTATTTATATTGTAGAATAGAAAAAAAAAGTAAGAAAATTATATTTAAAGTTGAATTAATTATGATAAGTAAATAAGATTTTTTTCCTTGTCAATAAGAGCATAGATTTAGTCATTTCTAGAATGTACAAAAAAAAAAGGAAATGTTACTAAAAGCTAATCTCATGAGAACTAAAGAGATCTGTTTGTTATTATCTTTATTTTGCCTAAAACAATTTTTGTTATTTATTCTTTTGTGTTTTCAGATAAATATTGAATGAAAAAGATGAATGTAACCGAAAATAATCTAATCTTATCAATGAATATAAATGTTAATCATATTTTAACATTTTTATTTTTTTTAATTGCAATAATTGGTATATTGGGAAATGTGTTAGTAATTGTATCCGTTGAATTTGATGCACGAATGAGACAATCATTAACAAATCAACTTATTGTTCGTGTTGCTTCTTGTGATTTTCTTATACTTGTATTTAATATTCCTGATATTATACAATTTGTTTCATCAACAAATGGAAATTGGATTCTTAGTGAATTTGCTTGTAAATTTATTCGAACAACACTTGTTTTAGCACAATATGCATCTGTACTTACAATGTGTGCATTAACAGTTGAAAGGTTTAGATAATAAATTTATTTTTAAAAAGAAAATTATTTTTTATTTAGATTTATTGGTATTGTTTATCCACTTCGTTCAAAATTATTACGTGAAAAAAAACATGTTATATTAATAACATTAATTGTATGGATATTTTCATTAATATGTGCTTCACCAAATATAATTTATTTACGTGTATTAACAAATTTATCACCAGCATCACGTCGTTCATGTTTACTTGTATATTCTGAAGAAAGTTTTTTAAATAATCAGCGTATTTATATCATACATAAATTAATTGAATCAATTGTATTTTATTTTCTTCCATTATTATTACAAATTTATTGTTATACAAGAATAGCTCGACAATTATTTTATGTTGATGAAACACTTCAAACATCATTTCATGCAGTTGCGAAATCAAGTAGTCAACGAACACAAGTTTGTTTGTTTTTTTTGAGAATAAATTATAAAATATTTTATTTATTTTAGGGTGATATCGATGAAGAAGATGATTATGTAGATAATGATGATAATTCAAGTACAAAATGTACAAGAATTGATTCTGTTTGTCAATCACCAAAACATCGTTCTAAACAATATTCCCAATCAAATGTTACTCATCTTATTCAACGTCAACCATTGAAAAATTCTTATTCAAAACGTCGAACAACAGTTACTTATAATGCATTAAAATCTCGTCGAAATGTTATTAAAATGCTTTTTATTGTTGTACTTATTTATTTTATATCATTTAGTCCCCAAGTATTATTTTTTCTTTTTTTTGAAACAAATTTTATTGAAAATATTCCAAAATTTATTCAAACACCTTATTTTATTGCATTTACAATGCTTTTAGTAACAATTAGTTCAGCATCAAATCCAATTGTTTATGCAATATTTTGTTCAAAATTTCGACAAAGTTTTATAAAAATTATTCGAAAATTATTTTGTTGTTTTCACAAAAAATTTGATTATCATTCAAATCAACGAGCATTATCATTACAACAAATATCATCACCAAATAATCGATCAAATGGAAGAGTTCACAATAATAAAACATGTTCAACTACAAATGAAAATTGTCAATATTCATGTTAAACATATCATTGTCAATAGTTTTTTTTTCTTTTCTTTTCTTATATTTTATCTAAATATAAAACAAAAACAAACTCATTAATTTCTATTCAATTCAATATCTATTGACATACACAAAAGTCGGACTTTTGTATTTCGACAATTAATTAAATTTTATTTCATTTTTTAATATTTATTTTAAATAACATTTAAAAGTATAGAAATTTTTGCAAAACAACTGAGAAAATTGAAGTAAACAGCAAATAAAGAAACATAAATGTTAAAGAAAAATAACTTGATAGTAACAACATAAAAGTATTCATGTTTGGGTTGATAATTAATTATGTACGAACATTATATGTTATTATGATTATGATGATATGGTATATGTCTATTACTATAGTTACAACATTCGCATTATTTACTGATGATGGCCGACTTCACTAACGTTTCCAGCATTCAAGGTCGAAAATTCTAAATTGTATTGTTTACTTTTAATTTTCATTAAACTTATCGTATAACTACACTTCTATCTTTTTTAAATCTAAATGTCTTTTAATAAAACATCTGAACTATAGTCCCGGTGAAAAATCGTGAAATTATATCTGATTATGTAAGATTATAATCGATTATAATCTTACATAATCAAATATAATTTCACGATTTTTCACTGGGTATAATTGTGTCCATCATATGAAATTTTTCTACTACATGTTACACCACCTTTTAATCCACATCTTAATCAATTCCCGATCACCTTACGCTCTGTAACTATAAATTCTAATTTATACAAACTATATATTACACGTAAACTTCACAGACACAACTATTGCCAACAATAATGACCAATATCCATTAGTTTCTTATCAGATACATCGTCAAACTTCCTATCTAAGCATTTCAAACGCATCTTTAATCAATCTCCGCACATACTAAAAAGACAATTCTTCAAAAGAATAACAGACGAGGACATATCGAGGAACGATTTTTCATTTCCTATAACACAATACGACATCCCAGGAAAAAGATCTTTTAACTGATTTAAAATTAATTTTTCATCTCTCATTATACAAAATGTCATTCCAGGAAATATAAGTCTTTCAACTGATTTTCAATTCATTTTCAATCAATTTTGTCCTAGATAGAATCGATGATAACGGATGTTTTTTAAAGTTCTTGAAAAAAACAAAGAATAAAAGAGGTAACATCACATTAGATGATTATTTTCAGTCGAAAGAAAAAAGCACTCTGTCGTAATTTACTGTCACTAAGAATTAATGAAGTTCTTGTAGAATATTGAAAACTAATTTCTCTTCACTGATTGATCATATTGAGTATTCTTTTTTTTACATGAATCGTTTTATACATTCACACAATGAAATGAATTAGCCAGAAACTATCCATATATTAATAGAAAAACCTGTACTTGTTAGTAAATATTTGTTTTTTTTCTTTTCAATTACAGAATGACGCTCTATTAAGCAACCATGATAAAAAAGAAAGTCATCAATATTTTTTCATCATACTGATCAATAGAAAAAATATAACTATTCTATGAAAAGAGAGAAAGAAAAAGGAATGAAATACTATTTATTACTTTCTGTTACTAACATTTTATTCTCACTTAAACTCAATTGTTGTCAACTACAAGTTTTCTTAAATATGAATTCGAGAAAAATTTGTGTATTATTTATGTTTGTTCTTATTGAACAATCAGTTGCACAAAATACACATTCGTTTACAATGTCTTTGATAGATGGTTGGGAATATCAATGTGTTAACACTACTTGTGCACCATTTAATACTGTTGTTGTATCAAACATCCGAATGTGTCAGGTAACTTGTTTAAATGAAGTTCAATGTAAGGCAGCCAGTTTTCATCAATCAACTTCGAAATGTCAATTATTTGCTGACATACCAGATGAAAATGGGAATATATTAGCTAATATGGACACTGTTACTATGTTTGTTATGGCTCAAACACGAATGCCATCTGGTTAGTATAAATAGAACACATTAACAATGATATCTTATAGAAAAAAGAAAAGAAAAGGATGCTAGTGTGTGAAAGACAGTGTCACTACTTAACAAAAATATAAATAAAGATATATTTGAGAGAAAATCTTTTTTCTTCCTAAAACTGATTAGAGTATTTCTGAAAGATATGATCATGAGTACAAGGCAGGACAGGATAATAATATGTTGAACATTGTGGAATAGGATAACTGCTCTTAAAAAGATTATGGAGTCTCATTTAGCGACAGATACAGGATTTTAGAACTCATCCTAGTTGTAAGCTCGCTGAGGAGAACAAAAATAACGAAAGTAGTTTGAATTCAAGTACGCTTATTCTTCTTGTTTCCTATTAATTTCATTTTCTCCGAAACAGAACTGACCACAACGACGACAACAACAACTACTTCGTCGTCAACATCAACAACATCGTCATCAACATCAACAACTACAACCTCATCATCAACATCGTCTACAACATCGTCCACAACAACATCAACAACCTCTTCATCATCATCATCAACATCGACAACGTCATCATCAACGTCAACAACATCGTCCACAACAAAAACAACATCAACAACAACATCATCATCAACATCGACAACATCATCATCAACGTCGACAACGTCGTCTACAACATCATCGACATCGTCGTCCACAACAAAAACAACATCGTCATCAACATCAACATCAACAACGACAACAACTGGTCAGTGATATTTTAAATGATTCATTGATCTTCTTCTAGGATCCTAACAGATGATTTGTTTGAGTGGCTAAAAGGAAAAGTTTTTAGTTTTTATATGCTGAATGATTATCATCCCGATAAATACCTTCAAATAAGATTTTTATCTATAAACGATTTGAAAGCATATATCAGTAACACATCCTAGGACATTTTTTCGACCTCTATTTCTCAGAGATTTGTTGCTGAAACTTTTAATAATACAAAATACAGAGTGTAGATATCAACTAAAGTTAGAGTTACTGATGGCTTTTATTCCCATTAGCCTTCTCGTCTGTCTCTTCTCACTAATCTTGTTTTGAATAATCATCAATTGAACTACGTTTTCTGCATCTAATGAATTTCGTTCGTTCAGTATAGTTTCAAAATGTGAATCTGTACGATTAAACTATCTCCTTTTTTCTGCTTATATTTTGTAAAGCAAGTGCCAGATTTATTAAGCAAAAGTAAGCAATGCAAGGGTGACTGTATTAACCATATAGTCAGAGAATATTTTGTTTAGATGAAAATTAGCATGTACCAACTGCAAACTTAATCGGTTGTCTGATTTAAATTTCTGATAGATTTCAGGTTTTTGGATTCGACTGTTTGAATAGTTAAAGGTTTCAAAGATTTTAGAATTTCGATATCGCGATTCTCTTCTCTATTTATAACAATGATTATTGAAATAAAGTACTACAGTTTGTTTACCACGTTCTATATAATATAAAGATGCAAGACAAGATATCTTTACATCGGAGATATTCGATAATTTAATACTAACTCTACAGGATATGTGTTAACCAATTACTTATTAAAGCTTGAAATCTGAGTTTTTCGATTGAAGAATGTATAGTTAAATAGAGTAATGGCGTAGGTATATCAGTGAGTAGATACCGTGAATGTGGATAAAGAACACAGTCACTCTTCTCTACATACATACACATCCACATCCCCATATAATTTATTAAAATATAAAAAACCAAATATTCAAAATTCGTTTAAACTTATGTAGTTGATCCAAATTTCATGTCTTTTCTTTATAGATGTGATGTTCACTTTGAATAAAATGATGTTAATCAGAGATTTTTTCTTATACAATATGTAGCTGTATAACTAAGTTCTTTCTGTTACGTTCTAGGGTGTGGATCGCAGTGTAACACAGCATTATTGCTGACTGACACAAACACTGCCACAGTTCAAACATTGGTTAATAGTTTACAATCTGCTGGTTTAACTGTCAACTATATATCTGGTGGAATAACAACATATGCTGGATCTCCAGATGCATCCACTTATGGTTCTATCATTTTAATAACCGGCAATACCGAGGGAACAGATATGCCACTTGCAGGACAACAATCTATTTTAAATGCTCAGCAGAATAATGGTATTGGTGTAGTCATGACTGAATGGGCGGCATATCATGTTTTAAATGGACAATGGTCTGTACTATCTCCACTTTTATTGGCAACACGCATAGGAGGTGCTACTACAACTATGTCATTTACTTTGATTAATAGCGGACATCCAGTTTGGAATGGTCTAGCAACTTCTTTTACTACCTCGGTAACTTTAGGTTATAGTACATTGAGTACACCCAAGGTCGGAACCACAATAATAGCAAACTGTACAGTATGCGGCACACCTGCAGTTATTGTTGCACCTTCTTCAGGAACTGCTGGACGTATAGTACAGATTGCTCATACTGGCCATTGGAGTAGTGGTACATTTAATTGGGGAAACGATGCAAATATCGTGACAATGATGATCAATGCAGTTAAATGGTCTGCTCGTCTTATTTAACAAACTTTTTGCCTGCTTCTGTCTGATGTATGACGTATTCTTTGTTTGTTTGTTTTTGTAATGTAAAATCATAAAGAAAATCAGCGAAAGTTGAATTTGTTCGTGTTAATGATTATAAATATGTGTACCTACATACAATACTAATATTTTTGCTTCTTGTAAAGTGATCAGTGTCCGTTCATAAATAAACTTAAATATTTGACGTTTACATTGGGTTTAACAAAGATTCGCGTAACTTTATAAAGCCACTCTATTAGTTTTTCTATGTTTGAATTAAGCAGATTACAAAGTTCGGTTATATATAAGTATGTGTAGTTCTATTTAGTTTGAGAGTATGGGTGGGTGAATACAACATTATAATGCTCTATTCACCTACCCATACTCACACCCACACCCACCCTCAAGATCTATGTTTCGATTTGAATATCTTTAGTTGAATAATAATTATATATTAGTTTTATTAAAAAGTGAATCAAGTAATTGTTCGTTACTCCGTTGTTTTTCAAGGCAAAAGCCAATTGTTGTGCTCCAACATCTCCAATTTGATTCGATTCAAGATTAAGTATAATAAGTGTCTGAATGAAAAATTAAATATCAATACAAAATAAAATATATTAACAAAATAAATGACTTTATTGTCCCTTAGGATATCAGCTAAGTATTGTGTTCCAATATCTCCAATTTGATTTGATTGAAGATTAAGTGTAATAAGTGCCTGAATGAAGCAGGAAATGTCAATAAAAAATAAAATATAGGAATATAAAAAATTTCAGCTTCTAAAATCGCTCTCTGCTTGAGGGATTACTCAAACATTTGCATCCACCTACACTCTTTTCATTTTACTGTATCAGATTTATCACCATCATCAACACATTTTTTCTTTCTTTATCCTCCTTCGACGAAACTTGTATTCTTTATATTTTCTATTTTAAAAGATGTCTCCGGCTGATACGAATGATTTTCTTTTGTAAATGTCGGTTTCTCTCTGGATAATTTAACTTATTTCATATATTACTATTGTTATTGTTCTCTTTCGCTCGTTTTTTTCATCGTAACAAACATTGTGAGCCGCAGTTCATATGGACAACAAAATAAATGTTAAAAAATAATACACTCACATCTTCACCCATACCCTCATTTTATTTATCAAACTATGAATTGTGATATTATATTAGTAGATTATTGACAAAACATAGCATATGTGTGCTGAGTTAAAGTTATTTTTATTTCAATCAAAGAAATCAACTGTATCACCATCTCATTTTCTGACGTAATGATATTTAACAAGATTGAATAAAGCTTTTCGAAATACACTTCCTCCAGTCAATGTATAAATATAGAATGGCATTCCAGAAGCAACGTTTGAAAGAAGAAGAAATAGATTAAAGATGAAGTTTTCGATAGTATTTCGTATTGCTGATTTGTACATGTCTCTTGTAAATGTTGTATACAATTTTGATAAAGCAAGTGGAACAGTGAATATAAGAATGACAAGAACTTGAACGAAAAGCATCTTTAGCAACTGACGATCTGCTTTCTTTTGTTGGTTTTGACGTCCAATGACGACTATTCTTGTATTCTGACCCTGATTATTATCACTTGTCATAACCATTGGTCGCAAACGAGCTTGTGTTTGACGTACATTCGAGATGGTCATTAGTCCAAATATGAACATAAATAACAATGGAATCAAAACAGTAATCAAAGCGAAGGATGTGTCTGTTAGAATACCACATGTTACTGTTTTCGTATAACATTTAATTGGAGTATTGATAAGATTGGCTTCATAACAAAAGATCTGTTGTGTTTGAATAATAGTTGAAAGAATTATAATGCAAATTATACCACGTTGTGCATTCTTCAATGTACTTCTTTGTCGACGATGAACATTGATGCTTGAACAAAGCCATCGATCGATTGTAGCCAACATGATAAGCCAAAAAGCAATAGTTAATGAATTGAAAAAGATAAATACACGAATTTTGCAAAGAAATTGATTTATATTTGTCATATCTGCATTCCAAGTAGATAAAAATCGAGGAATAAGACCAGACATAATACTTATTAAATAAGAAATTGATGACACAAGAAATAGACATGAACAAGGATTTGAACGGAGAGGACGTTGTGAAAGAACAAGTATATTTAGAGTATGACCAATAATTCCGAAAAGAAAAATAGAAATTGCCAAATAACGATTGAGTTGAATCGAAGTATTATTCAACAGGGCGATGATGTTTGCATCCGATGACGATGACATTTTTCACTAAATAAACAATGATGATTAAGTTTAATAAAATTTTCTTTCAAGATAATATATTTTTGTATGTTTGCAGAATTAAAATCGGATTTGCTATAGTCACTGACATATTTCATCATGTTAAAAAGCTTAATCTACTCTAATAGCAATGCACTTTTGAAAATTAAACCTAATGGTAGAGATAAGTACTAGACAAACCAAGGCTTCATAACAACTCTATGACAATATAATATAAAATATTGTCTTATATAATAGTCCTTCAATTCATATTTAGTAGAGATGTCATGATTAAAGAGTTATATATCTTTTTACTTCTCTTTCATGTGTATCTGAATGCGAGAAAATAAAATAGTTATAATGCAATATCCTTATAAAAGAGTTCAGAAAGTTGATCTTTTTCCATTGCACTTTTAACTCATATATGTATTTCCTCTTAAATCATTAATATCAATTGTTATTGCAAAGTCAATGATAATTTACTGCTTTTGAGAGTATTCATAAGATAGGAAACAGCTATATTCCCTATGTAGATAATATATAATTTTGTATATCTCGTTTATTATGTTAAATTTTATAAAAACTTCAGTCATACTAATTATAGAATACATGAAGAGTAAAAGACTTTCTGTTGTTTTTATTTACATTCTATAAAAATTAGATAGCTCACTTGTTCGTAATAAATGATGAAAGGAAACGTCTGTCTAACTTGTATAGAGATGCACTTGATTATATCGAAGAGAAGAAGAAATAAAAAATTAACGTCAGTCAGAAATAGATTAACAATAAACAAGTAAAAAAAACAGAAAAAGTACTTGCGAAGAAATCTTGAAATCAACGAGATATTTCATCAATTCGTTTTTTCTTTTCCGAAACATCCGAAACGTACTTTTAATTATGATTATGAATACTCAACAAAAATGTTTTATAAGAAAAAGAAATTCGAATTATATTAATTCATTGTTTAGTTTTGCCAATCTGCATTAAGTATGATAGACGTAAAATATATTTGAAGCAAAGAACTAATATGTTAGTTGAATAATAACTTTAAAATAATTAATTAACTTTCATTTTTTCTCAAGACTGTTTATTCGATAGTGGTTTACTGAAACCAACACAACTTAATTGCATATTTCATAAGATAGATAACATTTGTTTTCCAGTGTTTGCAAGAAATATTTTATTAAGAAATTTATAGTATCTATCAAGGTGTGGGTGTGCTTCTCGATATAGATGAATGCGGATGTGTATATCTGATGGATATAATAGTCACACCAACACCCATACCCACACCCACATCGAGAGATAATTTTTCATTTCCTATAACACAAAACGGCATTCCGCGAAAAAAGGTCTTTTAACTGATTTGAAATCAATTTTTCATCTCCCATTATATAAAATGTCATTCCAGGAAATATAAGTCTTCCAACTGATTTGAAATTAATTTTCAATCAATTTTTCATTTCCTATAACACCAAACGGTATTCCGCGAAAAAAGGTCCTTAACTGATTTGAAATTAATTTCTAATCAGTTTTTCATCCCTCATTACATAAAGTGTCATTTGAGAAAATACAAGCCTTTTTACTGATTTGAAATTAATTTTCAATCAATTTTGCGTCAGATGTGATCGATGAAAAGGAATGTTTTTCAAAGTTCTTGAAAGAAACAAAGAGTAGAAGAGGTACCATCACATTAGATGATTACTTCCAGTTGAAAAAAAAGCACTATGTCGTAATTTACTGCCACTAAGAATTAATGAACTTCTTGTAGAATACTGAAAACTAATTTCTCTTCAGTGATCAATCATATTCAGTATCTTTTTTTTTACAAAAACTGTTTTATACATTCACGCAATGAAATGAATTAGCCAGAAACTATCCATATTTTACTAGAAAAACCTGTGCTTGTTGATAAGCATTTGTTTTTTCTTTTTAATTACAGAATGACGCTCTATTAAGCAACCATGATAAAAGAGAAAGTCATAAATATTTTTCATCATACTGATCAATAGAAAAAATATAACTACTCTATGAAAAGAGAAATAGAGAAAAAGAGAAATAGAAAAAGAAATGAAATACTATTCATTACTCTTTGTTAGTAACATTTTATTCCCAGTTACACTCAATTGTTTCCAACTACAAGTTTTGTTAAATATGAATTCGAGAAAAATTTGTGTATTATTTATGTTTTTTCTTATTGAACAATCAGTTACACAAAATACACATTCGTTTACAATGTCTTTGATAGATGGTTGGGAATATCAATGTGTTAACACCACTTGTTTACCATTTGCTGCTGTTGTTGTATCAAATATCCGCATGTGTCAAGTAGCTTGTTTAAATGAAGTTCAATGTAAGGCAGCTAGTTATCATCAATCAACTTCGAAATGTCAATTATTTTCTGACATACCAGATGAAAATGGGAATATGTTAGCTAATATGGAGGCTGTTACTATGTTTGTTATGGCTCAAACACGAATGCCATCTGGTTAGTATAAATAGAACTCATTAACAACGATATCTTATAGAAAAAAGAAAAGAAAAGAATGCTAGTGTGTGAAAGACAACGTCACTACTTAACAAAAATACCAATAAAGATATATATAGGGGAAAATCTTTTTTCTTCCTAAAACTGATTAGAGTATTTCTGAAACATGCGATTCTCTGACTGGAAAATAATGGCCAACAATAGGTTTCGGAAGCTACTTTCAGAATGTCATAAATCACTAGTAATCGCAGGATAGCAAGCAGACCATTTTTTTGGCCTGATTTGAACTTGAGTACAAGGGAGGACAGGATAATAATATATTCAACATTGCGGAATAGGATGACTGCTCTTAAAAAGATTATGAAGTCTTTTTTGACGACAGATACAGGATTTTAAAACTCATCCTAGTTGTAAACTCGCTGAGAACAAGAAAAATAACGAAAGTAGTCTGAATTCAAGTAAGCTTATTTTTATCGAGTCAAATAACTAGATACATTGTTAGACGATCGAGTAGTGTGGATTTATGAGGAAAACCTTATTTTATCTTCTTGTTTCCTATTAATTTCATTTTCTCCAAAAACAGAACTGACCACGTCGCCAACAACAGCAACTAGTTCATCATCAATATTAACACCATCGTCATCAATATCAACATCAACAACCACAAACTCATCATCAACATCCTCCACAACATCATTATCAACACCAACAACAACAATATCATCAACATCAACAACAACCACATCATCATCAACAACATCGTCTACAACGTCGTCCTCAACAACAAC